GGTAAGTTGTCATATTCACTATATCGACTCATAATGCTTTGAGCAAACCGAATACAATCTAATGCTTCTTGCTTACTCATTCAAAGTTATGTTAATACTTTTAGTAATATTATTTTTCTCCGGTGTCATAGAAACTATCTTGATCATTTAGATCTCATTATCCGAACAATAATCTATAAATTATATGCTAAAACACTCTCTTTTATTATCTAACTTTAAAGCTTTGATCTTCAAACTAAATTAATTTTCAACTTTAGCTTTTTACCTAACTATTAAATACAAAAAACATATCAAATTTATTTTTTTAAAAAAAAAACTCATACCTTTCTAGTGGAGTCGTCAATGAAAGTGACATAGTAATATAAGCCTCTAAGAAAAGTCACGAAGCTCGGTCCTCATAGATCTATATGCATCAATTTTAGCTTCCCTTCTTTTAAGGACCTACTGGACTTTAAAAACAAACTCTCTTCTCGCTTTTTATAAGTTAACAACAATATATTTTAGTTACGGTAATTTTTTTTTAATGCTAACTACTTCAACCCTTTTCACTCATATGCCCAAGCTTTTGGAGCCATCATATCGAATCATCATCACCATCAAAATTAACCACCGAAGTTGTATCTCTTCTTATAACGGTAGTATACAAGGTCTCAACCTTGTCGCCTTATGCTACAACCATATTCATCTTCGTTATCTTCTTTGATTCACTCCTAAATACTATTTTGTATCCAACATCATCGAGTTTGGTCATAAAAATTAGATTCTTCCTAAGACCTAAAATATGTCTAGCATTCTAAAGCTTCCATTGCATTCTATTAGCAGCTTCGATATTAATCTCATATTTCCCCATAATATCTAGAAATTCATCATTTATAAGATAAATCTTTTCAAAATTTTCTACAATATATTTCGTATAATATTTTTACATAGAGTAGAATGAAATGATACACTCGTGTCTAAAATTTAAGACTAAATATAATCGACCATGTTGTAAATTAATGCATCCGTAATTTTATTAGTTATTACATATCCAAAGTCATCATCATCATTCTTATTCTTCTCCTTCGAATCCTTACACTAATTTTGAAATGTATTTTCTTATTGCAATTCTAGAAGGTTATCTCTTTGCAATGTTTGGATTTCTCTATGCCCTTTGATTTCGACTCGTCATAACCATGATTTCGACCCCACTCGAAAGTCCATTCCCCTATTGTTAGTACCCAAAGAAGAACTTAAAGTTTCTCTTAACCCACTTATATGAAGATCTTCATTGATCATTAAATCTTAGACATCATCCAATTTTAGTTTTTCATTCCTTGATAAACTACTTACCGTTGTTACCTTTCTAGACCGGTTATCAATTAAAGAAGATAACAAAATCAATGCCTTAACTACATCATCAAACACAATGTTTACTTACTCTAATTGATTGATCAACGCATTAACTTCATTGATGTGATTAGTCACAAATGCACTCCTCCTATCTTCGGATTGAATAATCGATGCAAAAATATCTTGTTTAAGGGAGATGGCTTCTCATACATAATTGATAACATCGTCATCATATCCGATGTAGTATTTTCTTTCATAATGTTGAAAGCAATGTTTCGCATCAATGTCGGTCGAATAACACTCGAGTCCGGCAAGCCAACAAAAACCAATCAGCATCTTTCATCCCTTTTGGCTTCTTTCCTAATAAGGGTTCATATAGCTTCTTCGGTACATATAATCTTCAATCCTCATCTTCTAGAACCCGAACTCTTTGTCATTGAACTTGTCAATCCTTACTTTTTCTACTTCGCCATCGTTCCTCCTTACCCCACTAACATGAGGTTCTAATACCAATTGTTAGAAAATGAAGCAAGCGAGAAAAGAAAAGATTAGAAAGACAAGAACAATCACATAACACAAAAATTTACATGGTTCGACAATTGTGCCTACTCCACAAATGCATTAAGATTCCTTATTAAGGTTTTATTAAGTGACGAACTTATAAATACAAGTGATGTTGTCTTTATTTATAAAGTAGAAAACTATATTTATAATATATAAAAAAAAGCTTTATGAGCTTACACATCTTGTCCAATATTTTGTAGACTTTTAAGGAGCTTTGTCCCTAAGCCCCCACAAAGAGCGACGCCTCCTTGACCCCCGCTCGCGATTGTTGTATGCATAGCATATTAAACTACAGGTCACATCCACATAATTCTCTGCAACTTAATGTACAATAGATTAAAATGGATTATAACTCTGAGTTCCTAGAAAATTTACCCCATTGAACCGTACTGAGAGTTATTTTTGAAGGCCGACTCCATTGAGAGTTTAACAATCACATCACAATAATATTTCATAAATACAATCATCCATTTCGGCCAAAAGGCTGTTGATAAAGAAATTTCTATGAAGCCACGAAAATTTTCATAGAAAAGGAGTCTCTACCGTGCTAGCTTGGAATGCAGTGTGTGCTCTCCAATTGCTAGTGATACACCATATTCATTTTTGTTTCTTTTTTCCCCTGCAGCCGAAGCAAAACGAATGCACTTATCCTTTATCTCGATCTTATCAAAGCTAGCAGTAAAATGAAGACTTTTATATATCTTGCTGCTTATGAATTAAGCAGCACTTCAATCCTTGGCAAATTAATTAACGACTGGTGCGGCCAGTTCTAAGCCATATTGAAGAACTAATTGTGGTCGTCTGAAGGGATTGTGTGTTCTAGCTAGTGTGCTTCTGTGTGGTCTATCTTTTGTAGTCGAAGGTAACACAATTTATGTGGAGGATAAATCAAACACAGTTATGATTAATGTAGTACTGACTTGTTCAATATTATTATTAGGATCTCTAAAAAAAGTAGCACGGCCTGGACTGACAATAAATTGCATTTTCCTCTAACTTCTTATGCTGGAGAAGTTATAAGATGGTCATCAAAGTCAAGAAAAAGACACTAGTTGTTTCTTGGAATGATTAAATAGGACGGTGGCATCATATCAGATTAACTGCCCAAACTACCCAAAAAAAAAAAAAAAAAATTCATCCAATCAATTTTCGTCTTGAATTCCTAGAAATGTCTATTTTTTTAAGCTGTATATTGTATCTCAATTGATCTGTTTGATTTGAATTTCCCAGTATGGCGATTTTAGAATAACATTTCACAATCCGTGATCAGGATTTTGTCTGTCTATCAACTTCTTGTAAAATCAAGAATGCATAAAACAGGGTTGCTCCTCCGAAAAAAGAAAACAGAAAAACATAAACAGGGTTTGTTGGAAAGTTTAAGCACATAAATCTTTTATATACACATGCATTGTACTGTTTTAAAAACCAAAATAGGTGCAAATTGAATTAAATTAGATGTATGTAATCATCAGTATTGCCTTTTTTGTTCTTCGATCTGTGATGCAGAGCATTCTTCCATGAATCTAGAATTTCTACCAACCCTTGCCGCCACCAACACCAAAAAGCTTCGTTTTCTTACCACAAAAAAGCATTCTCGCATGTTATTTTACTGAAAAAAAAAAAAAAAAACAAACAAACAAACAAACCAGAAAGCTTCGTTTCCATCCAACAAAAGCCTAATTCAATTTGTTAGGTGCAGTCCATATATATGGTAGACAGATAGCTATAACATGAATGTTAACTGTAAATGATCCCTATAAAAAAATGCTCTCCACAGGGCAAGTGCTAGTCAGCTGTTAGTTTAGCAATTAATTTTGAATCTGGACTTAAGGGATAGGAACAAGAAAGTTAAAAAAAAAAAAAGATTTGTGATTCTGTTTGTTCCCTTTGAAGATCGTAGAATTGCATTGTCTATAATATAAGATGCTATACAGATTCAACACGACAGTTTCGTTAATAAAAATTCATATTGTAATTGTGGAGTAAACACCATTATCGAATCATATAAAAAATTTATATTGTATTATTATTCTTTTTTTCTATTTTATTCTTTTACTTGATTTATTTCTTAACGTGCATTAAGTAATAGTGATGGATAATAAATGGTGAATTCTTGGACCTACAACCTGTGTGTTGGTGATAATATCTCTTTTGAATTTTCACATAATTTAAGAAAATATTAATTATTGCATCACATAAGTATTTTTATTTATACTTTTTTAAAATATGTCTTAATTCTTTATTATATGGAACTGACATTAATTCATGAAAAATTATTCAAAATTGAAGTGATAAATCAAAGAAAAAATTATTAAGTTAATTAAAGATTAATTTTTAAAAAATTATAGAAAAATAATATATAATAATGTAATTATTACACTTATAAAATTTTGACATGTAGTAAAGTCAATATAAGAATGAATATTTTTATATAACAAAAAAAAAATTCTTTATCAGTTAAGAGTATTTTTAAAAAATATGTTATTTACAATATTAATCAGATAAATATTTTAAAATACATATAAGTAAAAAAGTAAAACAATTTCTTTAGAAGAAAGAGTATTAAAAAAATAAAAAATTAGGCCTTAATAAGGAAGTTGTAAAACCTCTAAAATATCAAGAAATTTTATAATACTTAAAGAGTAAGTAGTGTAAATTAATTCCGGAAGAGAGATAAACACAAAAGGAGAGAAAAATAGAAAAAAATATAGAAAAAGAAATTTGAATTTAGATAGAAATTTTCATATATCATTTTTTATGAATTCGAACATGATTCTTTTTTTTTATGTATTTATTTTTTTCTTTAAAAGTAAACTCATAAAATAACTACTATATATATTAAGTATTATCAAATTTCTCATAGAATATCCATCCTCCATGATAAAAATTAAAAAGTAGTCAGAATTTATTTCCAAATAAATTACTACCATATAAGTTCTGTGTATTTTATTGGTGGTCCCTTGGGCATCTATAAATCTACTTCCTCCCGCTCTCTCCATCGACTAGAATAGCCATTCCAATACCTTGTATTGTACTGCTGTTAACACCTACTCACAAAGGAGAGAGAGAGAGATAGAGAGACGGAGACGGAGACAGAGACAGAGATGGGAGGGCTTCTTGCTTCCGTTATCATCGTTCTCGTAAGTGTAGTGTGTTATATCATTAAGAAGAGAGACAAGAAAGAACCTCATACAGGGATTAAGCTCCCGCCAGGTTCAATGGGTTGGCCTTACATTGGAGAGACTCTTCAACTCTACTCTCAGGACCCAAATGTCTTCTTCGAGTCCAAACAAAAAAGGTTGCTTTCGTTCTCCTCTTAATTGTTTTCCAATATCATCTTCTGATTCCTTCTAATTTCATCATTTTTTCTTCTCTTCATTGCTTGTTTCTTTATAACATTTATGTGCATGCAATTGAATGTGGTGTACATGGTGATATAGGTATGGAGAAATATTCAAGACCCATATTCTTGGTTGCCCCTGTATTATGCTGGCTAGCCCTGAGGCATCTCGGTTTGTGCTTGTGACTCAAGCTCATTTGTTCAAGCCAACGTACCCAAAAAGTAAGGAACATTTGATTGGTCCATCAGCTCTTTTTTTCATCAAGGAGATTACCATATTCGTCTAAGGAAGTTGGTTCAGGGCTCCTTGTCTCTGGATGCAATTCGAAATTTGGTTGCTGATATTTCAGCCACAGGAGCCTCTACCCTAGACTCATGGGATGGAGGACATGTCGTTAACACCTTTCAAGAAATGAAAAAGGTTGGTCTGGTTCAATATGCAGTCAATATTTAACACAAATAATTGGATCAATTTTTTAATGGGACTTTTCTGCTTTTGATATGTTGTTTGCTTTCTTTAACTGTTATTTCTCTGTGAATCTTTATATAGTTTTAAATTCCTTGCTTATAAAAATGAACCCTTTTTAAGGTTCTGTTTGTATTATTTATACGCTCTTTCTCAGAATCATCATAGTTCTCATGGATTTGTCCTTTACCTTTGCAGTTCTCTTTTGAAGTAGGAATACTGGCAATTTTTGGCAATTTGGAAGCCCATTATAGAGAAGAATTGAAAAGGAACTACAGAATTGTGGATAAAGGCTATAATTCCTTTCCAACTAGCCTCCCAGGAACTCCTTACCGGAAGGCTGTGCTGGTGAGCATAACAAACAAGAGTACATTTACCATCAGATTTTGTTCAATTCTGTCTCATAAATTGTCCTTTGATATGCATTGACCTCTTCAAGTAATTTCTCAAAAAATGGATCTCCTACAGGCAAGAAAGAGGTTAAGCAAGATTCTTGGTGATATTATTTGTGAAAGAAAAGAGAAGAGATTGCTTGAAACGGATCTCTTGGGTTGTCTATTGAACTCAAAAGATGAGAAAGGAGAAGTCCTAGACGATGATCAAATCGCGGATAACATTATCGGAGTGCTTTTTGCTGCTCAAGACACCACAGCTAGTGCCATGACATGGATTGTCAAGTATCTCCACGACAACCTGAAAGTTCTAGAGGCTGTAAAGGTATGATTAAGAACAAGCCAAATCATCAGCAGGGTCTAGAACAAGTCTTTCTCCCATTTGTTTCTTGTCTCTGTCTTTGAATTCTAACTAAAGATACAGTAATTGTATTAATTGTTGATAATTATTGGTGATTCTGTTTCCTATAGGCCGAACAGAATACAATTCGCAAATTGAATGATGATGGTAATCAACCATTGAGTTGGAGTCAAACTAGAAACATGCCATTTACTCACAAGGTATGTAGTTTTTTTTTTTTTTTTTTAATACAGAACTATTTTTTTAACACTTCCAAGCACAAGGCATTAATTTTGAAACTGTAAATTTGTAGTTTTACTTATTTGCCTAGTAGGATATCATTTTGTTGTGCAAATGGCTAATAGCGAGAAACTATGGACTGCCTGCCAGGTTGTGTTGGAGAGCTTGAGAATTGCAAGCATTATATCTTTTACCTTTAGAGAAGCTGTGGCTGATGTGGAATACAAGGGTAAGAGGAGTAACTCATGTTTGCTTTTTCATTGGAAGGCCCAATGGACTTTGGACTTCCTAAATCTATCCAATTTTAGTAAATAACAAGGCTTCCTGTTCAGATGGGATGGTCAGATTCAACTATATTTTCCATAAAATTGGAGTACAAATGCAAGATTAAAACCATTGATAATCCTACTTGGATGGAGTGATCAATTGAACTTATATCGGATCTGGCCATATATCTCTCAATATTTATCATAGAAATTGACATTTGGGGAAAGTGACTAAGACCGAACTTTGTGACAGGGTACCTGATTCCAAAAGGTTGGAAGGTGATGCCTTTGTTCAGAAACATTCATCACCATCCAGAATATTTTAGTGATCCTCATAAATTTGATCCTTCAAGATTTGAGGTATGAATAAACATTCACCTTTTCAATTCCTTTTGGCCAATACAAACTGCCAAGTTCTTAACATAGCAGTTTTTGGGTTTGTGGCCAAAGAAATTCTGTTTCTTCAGATCCTAATTCTTTTCTTTTCTTTTCTTTTCTATTTCAACAAAAAAATTGCAAAGGTTGCACCAAAACCCAATACCTTTATGCCATTTGGTAGTGGACAACATGCTTGTCCAGGAAATGAACTTGCCAAGATGGAGATGCTTATTATGATCCATCATTTGTCTACCAAGTTCAGGTATTATCGAAATCACTATATACTGAATGTATTGTCTGCCTGCAATTTGGTTAACGAATACGAGGTATCATCCGGTCGGTCCCCTACGATGAGATTTGCCAATAAAACTATTAATGTCCCAACACTAACCATGGAGCTCTTTTTCCTGTAACAGTATGTTTGTTCTTGGCGTTCCGGTCTATGTTATGGTAGATTTTAGTTGATAAATAATTTAACGACCTCAATCGCTTACTTCAAAGCAAATATATAATATATCAAGGGGAAAATAATAAAAGGAATTTTAAAAGATTATTGGTGCAGTTAGCGAGGACCTTTGAGATTGCTCAATCTCCGTATAAGAAATTGACAAGGTCTTTTTGTTATTTTGTTTTTCAGGTGGGAAGTGGGGGGATCTCAAAGTGGGATTCAGTATGGCCCATTCCCCGTGCCATTGCATGGACTTCCAGCCAGATTTTGGGAAGAATCTACCAGCTAGGATAGGTGCTTTTGATAATAAGCTGAGATGCCATTTGTCTCTCCCAATTCACTTCTTATTTTAGCAAATATTGTATTCCTTTTTAGCCAAGTATTTCTTATTTTAGCTCCTAATTTGCATTAGGGTCTAGCCATACCCTCCCGATGATAATATGGGGATGGTAAAAAAATATTCCTATTTTCCTTCTGATTCCATCGCTTATAATTCTCATTATGATTCAGCCATTTTTATATCAACTCCAGGGTATGTATAACATTTATAAAGGATGGATTAATTCTAAATGAGCAAACATGCATGTAGTCTCTCCACATCACTCCAAATTTTCCCGACTTTTACATGGATAACTAGCTGTTATGTTTCTCGTTTAGGAGATATTTTACACAGTTGACAGTGATTACCAATAGTTTAATATATATATATATATTGGTTAAATTCAGATATTATGACCAAATAAACTCTAATAAAATGATTTAGTTACGCGGTGGTCTTCAAACTCAAATACCCCTTATCGAATCCCAACAAATTTCGATGCTATAATATATTAATCTTCAAATACAACAACTTATTTTATTTAAAAATCGATTCAAAATGTTATATATATGCAATATGACATTTTAAGAGAACATGAGTTGATTGTTGGAAATATTAAAAAGCAATAATATAAAAAAATAGAATATATTATAATAAATAAAATATCAATAGAAAAATAAAATAGAATCACATGTCATGACGTGTAATCAATATCTTTAAAAGTAGATTGCGTTTCTCAAAGAGTAATTCTTGGTGAAATAAGTTAAAGATGGTTTATCCTTCAAAATATTACGACGATCATATGTAAAAATACATTTGTAATATATAGACACATGTGAATACTCAATCTCACTCCTTGAAAGAGAATTATGTTTGGAAATTTTTAAAAACAAAACACTATTTTTTTAAGATAAAACATCATTATTTTATTTATCTTCTCATATCAAATGCTCGAGAGCATTTATGCTTCTATAAGGTAAGAAGGAATAACCAATTAACTATTATACAGCTTCTAATGACTATAGAATAGATGGTAATGGTTGTAATGAGTATTAATAATAATTAAAATTATTTAATATCACAGTAATTAATTGTATTAATATTAATATAACTGTTTTTTCATTAAAGAGCCAAAAAGAAACGTGTTTAAAAAAATTTTAAAATAAAATACTGTATTTTAAGAGAAAAGCATCATTTTATTTATTTTCTCGTACCAATTGCTAAAAAATATTTAAGTTGATATAGAGAGAATATATAATAAATGAATTATTAACTATAATTAATCTTTTTATAAACTCACAACGGCTAGTACCAACGATATAATAGTTAGTACCGCTTCTAATGATTATTAGTGATAGTTAAAAGCATTTGATATCATAATAATTAATTGTATTATTATTAATGTAATTATTTTTTCATTTAGGCTTCGTTTGTTTGAGGGAAAACAAGTTTCATAGAAAAATCAATTTCTAAGGAAGCTATTTTTTTGAAAATTATTTTTCAAGAAAATATTTTCTGCTATATTGGCAATTATATGAAAAAGCCATTGAAAAATATATTTCAACGTTTGTTTAATACGAGAAAATTAAAATACAAAAACTTATGTGATTGTTATATCAACAAGTTTTGAGAAAATTTTAAAAAGACATTCATAATTTCATAATATAAGATACATTTAAAAAAATTTAATAAATTTTCATCAATACTAACTCTAAAATTTTAATTCAAAAAATAAAATGTATTTTTTTAACAATCAAACTAAATCATCAAAATTACTTTGGACAAAATTAAGTCAATATTCATATTTGGTAAAAAAAGATTCTAAGTAATCTTAGCATTATTATTTTAGTAACTCAATTAAGATTTTTTTTTTTTAAGAAATTGAACTGATAATTTAGTCTAAAAAATAATTTGATAAAGTATTTGTTATCATCTATAGATAATTATTTATTTGATCTCAAAAGATTAATGTTGGAATAATTTGTAACTAATTATTCATTACAATTACCAACAAAATTTTACAATTGATTAAAATTATAAATTATTGATTTAATTGCAAATGAATAGTGTTGAAAATATAATGTATTTATTGATGAATTAATTAATTTTAATTTCTTTTTACAAAAAATTATAGTATTGTAATAATCATTTTCAATCATTTAACTATAACTTAGGTAGTGATTGAGACAATAGTAAAAAAAGAGATAAGTTATTGAAATATTTATTATAAAAATAATTTTAAAGTGTAAAAATGGTTTTTAAGAATATTTAATGTATCTATAAATCAAATATTAGTAAAGATAGAGAAAAAAATTAAAAAATTAATAATAATTGATAAGAAATACTTAAAAATTAATATGATATATTTTAAATAAAAAGAAGATAGAGAAAAAAATTGTTAAAATATATCGAGAGAGAGAGAGTTATGTAACGAGAGAGCGAGACAAGTTCGTGAGAAAGAAAATATTTTTCTTTTTAAAACTCGGTAAAATATTTTTTCAAAATTACTCTATCATTTTTCGTTGACTGAAAATTATTTTTTATTAATTTTTTTTAATGTAAAACAAATATTGAGAAATAAAAAAAATAAATTGCAAGAACTTGTTTTCCCGAACAAATGCAGCCTTAATAGCCAATTATCATTACGAAGTGTGTGTGAGACATCGCTTCTCAGTTCTCAGCAGAATCTTAGTCAGCATGGCACATGTCATGTGTTAAAAACATCACATCTCACTGCATCGACTTTACTATAATTAGAAGATGAGATGTTTTTGGGTGGATGGAAATGCGGCTAAAACTTCAGTACTACATGCACCACATCAAATCTTGCAACGTGGTTGATTTTTTTCCAAGTCATATAAAGTTTTTGGATTATCCTTATTTTATTCATCATTTGTTACTCAATTATCTTTTTTGTTAAAAAAAAAAACATGTTTTTTGTTTCGTTTTAAACACAATTCTATCTTTATGCTTAGTAAATTAAGCAATGGAAAAAAATTATTTAATCTAAATTTCTAAAGCCATTCATTGTTATTAAAAATAACTCTCAACTAACTGAAAAAAAAAACAAATGAGTTATTTAAAATGAAATACGAAAGGTACATATCATCATATCTAGGGTTTTTTTTTCCCTTGTCTTTGAAACCTTAGCAACAATCGATCTAATAACTATGATTTTTATTCTTCTTTTTTGTTCAATAAAGGTGAATGATTTTTTGTTCATTAAAGGAGAAGGAATCTTTTCCATTGATTTCATTTAAAAGTTTGAAGAAAGAAAAGAATGACCTTTAAACGAAAAGAAAATTATCTGACATGAAAATATATATATATATATATGATAAGATTTAGCGTTAGTGTATTCTGGAGGTTTAGCCCTGGGAATGGCCCATGCGAGTTAAGTAAACGTCACGTTGTTTGAGATGACCACGTGTCTGTCTGAGAATAGTTGTCACGCATGCCAGCCCCCTTGGGGACTCTGTAAGAGGACTGTACGAGAGCCAATTGCTGAACGGTTATTGGGCTGCTGCAAAAAGAGGGCCTCAATGGCTGGAAGGCACCCCTTAAAGAACACAGACTTTTTGCTAACTACAAATCTTTTAACCTAGATCCTGGGTTATGGACCCTACAAAGATGTGGCTACTAGAGCTTGATGGCCTTGATGCTACTGTACTTTCCTAAGTGGCTCTAGATTTGACGATACGAGGACGAATAATGTCGGAGTATAATATTTCATCAATCATATTACATTGATTTACAGTGGGAGCTGGTACTAATTCTGACGTGGAGTGTCTATCTGATAAGTTAAAGAATCAAATTGATAAATATAGAAATCTAAAGAGATTGTTTGATTGGACAAACATGCAGTGCTTTTTTCAAAACCATATCATTTGATTTGAATCTTCCATTAATACAAATCATATGAATTTGAAAAGTTTACTTGGATGTTCACGACACGGGGTCGACAATAAAAGTTATTGGTCAAAAGGCACTCTAAAGTATCATCCATATCTGAAGAATCAGTTCAGATTGCTTTAGTTGAGAAATTATGTGTGGTTTGTTTATGAAGGACGAAAATTTTTTAATGAAAATATAAAAATTGAAATAAAAATTAGAAAATAATATTTATATTTTTATTATATATTTAAATATTAATAAAAAATTAAGATAAAATATAAAATTTTTAGCATGTAGTTTTTAAGACAAATAAAAATAATAATAGTCCAGCTGGCAAGACTCTACGACAAATAAATAAATAAATAAATATAATAAATTAGTTTTTGTGTTTTTAACTTTATTTGTAAGTTATTATTTTTCATCTATGATACATTGGTCAAAAGGCACTCTAAAGTATCATCTATATATGAAGAATCAGTTCAGATTGCTTTAGTTGAGAAATTATGTGTTGTTTGTTTACAAAGAATGAAAAATTTTAAATGAAAATATAAAAATTGAAATAAAAATTAGAAAATCAGAATAATATTTTTATTTTTATTATATATTTAAAATGTTAATAAAAAATTAAAATTTTTAACATGTAGTTTTTAAGATGAATAAGAATAATAATTAAAAATAATAATTTCGTCAAATATAATAGTAATAAAAAAGATATAAGTAATTGTAGTAGTAGTGGTGGTGAATGAGGAGGTGATAGTGGTGATAATAGTAATAATATGTTTTTAAAAATTAAAATCATTATCATAAAAGGTATTAATAAAAGAAAAATAGTAAGGGTGGCAATATAATAAAAATAAAAGTGATAATGGAAAAAGAATGGTAACAAAATAACAATAATAATAATATTTTTTGTTTGAATTTTTTTTATTACCATAGTTAGTGATGGTGGTGGTGACAATAATAATATAATAAAAGTGATGGTGATGGTAAAAGAGAAAAAATGATGAAATAATGATAGTGATATTTTTTTTTATCACTATCTTCAATGATGGTGATGACGGAGGTGAAGGTGTAGGTGGTGATAATAATATAAGTAGTTGATATATTATAAATAAAAATAATATATGACTATTTTGAAGAAAATTTTTTCATTTTTATTATTTATTTTTATCCCTACCTCCTCCATGAAAATAAAACTATATTTAATTTTTATTTCTATTCTCTTTTTTATTTTTATTTTTCATTCAAATACCTGCAAACTGAAAATAAAATTTTATTTTCATTCTCAACATTCCATTCTTTATTATTAAACTACACCTTAAGACTTTATGTTTTATTTCATTACCTAATTTTTCGTATTTCTAAAATTAATTTTCACATTTATAGTTTATTTTTATCTCCTAATTTAGCTCTTAGTTAACTAGAATATACTATTTATATTATTTATAGACTTTTGTCAATAATATTCAGAAATATCCAAACCTCTGAATTTTTCAGTGTTTTTTCTTAAAAATATTTTTTCAATATAAAATAATACGGATCAATATGCTATAAGCAGCGTCAAGCGCTTCGTTAGTTTCACTTCTCCAGTCGATTGAACAATTTGGATCCACTTTTTCTTTAAGGACCTGACGAGGGCCGTTCCATGGGCCATTCCCCCTTGGCTATCCAAAGACTCCAAAGACTCAGAACTCATCTTCCCCATTTCACGATATGAGGGAATCCTGGGAAGAGGTTACAAGGAATAAACGACACGCTGTCATAGATTCTCCAGAATCTCTCTTTAAGAAAGGACCTTGAAAGGAAATGTCACGATTCATGAACGTTAAGTGGTTGAGACAGAATAACCTGTCCTCGCAGTTACTCAATACCCAGAGCTGACAGTTTTTCCTTCTGCTGCTTTAAGCAGATTCTAATAGTCCAGAACAAGTAAAATCATATGTAAATACCAAACATGCACCCTAGATCATAATATAGCTTTTTTTCAATCAGAAAGAATCATCAATATGTGGTAAAGAGTATGAGATTGGATTCCTTTCTAACAGGACTATCGTGGTTCGCCTTGTTTCGGTCTTTGCTGTATCCTGAGATTTCTGCAACTCATAGTATTATATATCTCATCAACAACAATGCTAATCAGTAGCGGATCCTCATCAAATCCTTGGGGAGGCAAGAGCAATAATATGGTATTATTTATCATATTGTTCGTAGATATAATTTATCTGAAAACAAAAGAGATCATTTTCTATCAGCATGAACAAATATATTGCAGATGCATCAAAACCTTTTTAACAGTTTTATAAAAGTATTTGATTTAAAACAATTGTTTTCTTTCATCCTATATATTGGCTTGTTGAATAATTTAAGGACTTAACCATACATGTGTTGACTTATGGAATAATTTAATGGATTTTACTTCATAAATAAACATAAGTTCTATTGTTAAAAAACAAGTACCAATATAAAATTCTGCCATTTGCACAAAGGCAACTAATTAAATAAATAAATTTATTCAACATAAGGAAGAAAATTGTTACTTTCAAAAATCAAAAGTGCATGGACCAAAATGAAATTTTATTCAAAACCTAGGCCCGCCCCTGCCACTGATGGTAATGTCGTCCGTATAAACAAACAGCTTCCAGCATGACTTAACGCATGCTTAAACATTTGCACTTGAATAGAATGTCACAACATGGGGGGCTCAGTACGTCTTGCAGCCGGCAACAAAATGATTAACGCATCTTAAAGCTATGATATAACCCCCTTCAACAGCAGCAACTAGTTGATTAAATAGAAACAACAAAAGTACAAAGAAAGACTTATATTTGTGAGCTTAAAAGCAAAATTTATATCTGAACGACACCCTAAATATTATTGCAGATGGGTATGTCCTATATGTCACTTAATCAAATCTATCTCGATACAGTATTACATTGTTTTTCTACAGGAGTTAGAGTTTGGACAGATGACCAGATTTAACTTAGGTGTCTTGAGCTGCGAATGATGTGTATTTCAGAATTGCTCCAATAATCCTCTCTTTGTCCCTGGTAGGGAACGATTCCAACAGCACTCCATTTTTATAGAAGTGGAAGAGGGGAACGGTCTGCATCAATTCAGGTTCATTCATATCAACACAGATATGAACCAGGAAAGAAACAGCGAATGGGATGCACCTAACAGTGCGATCCCAAAAATAGCAAGGGACAGAAAAACAGAACAGATAGGTAAAGAACTCTATTAAAAATTTATCCCTTCTCTATTCTTCTCTATGTGTATTCAACAAGGCATGCTTTTCCTGGCCTGACTACTCGTAGCGAAAAAACAAAAAAAAAAAAAAAATGTCATATTTTACCTTGATTCTAAGTCGTTCAGCAACCTCAGATTGTTCATCATACTCATCAATTACCTGCATTAAATAGCATGGTCAGAATTTCACATTCATTTGAAACCAGAATCGAATATGGCAGCTATGCTTCTTTGTTTGTAGTAGAATAAGGTCATGCTCAAACTGATGATCATGCAACCAACACAGGCCTAAACCTGGCAATGAGAGTCCAACACTGACAAGTTGGTGCTTCTCTAGAAAAAGCATCTTAAATTGAGCTACCTTCAGATTAATACCTTCTTATTCGAATGCTTTTTGCTAATCGTCTGATGTTTTTTGTTAGTATATTTGATAACACAATTCGAATAAACATCAAGTTATCACAAGTATCCTACTTTTTTTGGTTGTGCTTGTTGGGGGAGTACCATATATAGTTGATGATCGTCATTAACTCCCAATCACTTCTGTGCTTTTTGTACGTAGTCCTTGAACAATATTTAGGGATTATATATGAGAGGTTGTGCAATCTGGACAGATTCAGCTTACAGAAATACTCACATTATGCTTTAAGAAGGTTACTGCAGCCCCTTGATCACCAGATCCCCTGCACAATTTTTGAAACCCCTGCTCTATGTACTTGCAGCTTCCACAAGAAGTACGATAAAAATCTACCACCACTAAAGAATCAGTTTCTTTGGCCTTCTCAAGGATTCTAAAGAATTCCTCGTCAGTTTTAAATTCTCTAACACAATCCACAGGACAGAGATCGTCATCTTCATCAGATAATTCACCTGGATTTTCATCAGCCACGGCTTTCATTCTCCTAGATCGCCAAGCGTCATTGTTTTTCGAAAAATCCAAGGCTGCAGATATAGTGATGGAGGGGAATTTGGCCTTCATAAGACATGATTTCTCGTTACCTCTACAAGGATGCGTGCTTGGAACTACATAAGGAATTCTAGAATCAAGTTGTCTATCTGGGTTCATTCCAAAACCGAAAAAGGCCTTGGAAAATAGAATATTTGGGTTTTGCATGACAACATTCAGCGAGCCTCCAAAATCGCAATCTAGATGTTGATTAAGAAAGGAAGAATTTTACAAGCTAAACAAATCAACAACAATAGATCCAGCAACTGATATAGTCATCGTCCAAATATTCCTCACTCTTCATCTCATTCCATCAACTGAGTGGTATTCAATGGTCACACACAAAACCATAAATATCAGAATTATTATTTAGTTAGAAATATCTAGATTTAAAAAAAAAAAAAAATTTAAACGTTGTCATAAAAAGGTGATCCTACAATACAATTGTGAATATCCACGTTCCTTAAAATATACATACCATATTTCAAATTCTCTTATAATCACCAAAAGTAGGGAGAAAAAAAAACTTCCCCATATTCATCCTGTTTAAGCTACACAAAAAATCTCTATTACAGAATACAATTCTTCAATTTTCAGATTTTTCTAACATTCCACCACACCGTACTAAACTTATGGTGAGTACCACTTTAACAAAACAATTGATAGGGAAACAATTAAATTCAAGGGGGTATTATCTTTCCAACTTCGATCAACAAAATAGAGAATTCACAGACTTAAGATTACCTACGTATCAAGTAATTTGGTGCGCCACGAAATGATTAAAGTACAAGAAATGAAATGCCAGATGTTATAGATTATGTTAGAGATTACCTGCTGCAATTGGAGGACAGAGGTTCGCGCTTATGCCGTATCCGGTTAAGCTTCAAAAACTCCGAATGAGAAGATGACACGATGCACCATATCCATTCGCCTTTTGCCGTCCATTGCCCTATCCAAGATTCCAAGCTCTGTTTCCTTCTTCTCTAATGGGCCATTGTTTAACTCCATCTAAATTATCCTGGACCATAACATTGGGCTGCAAGGAATACGGGCTAGGAGTCCAGGACTTCTGCGACTGCAAGTGATTGCAAAGTGACTATTGGACTTGGGTATTTAGGATTTAGAATAGGTCCATTGCCGGTCGATGTCCTGATATATGATCAAAACATGAAATTATTCATATTTGTCAACATTGAAAGGTAATTATATATATATATATATATATAATGGCATTTTTACTATTTTTAGCATGTTCAATGTGATCCATTTATACTATGAACTTGTTTCTACTATGCAGCTCCATTTTGTTGTATCTCGACCCTTGTTTCCTTCTTCCGTCTTGCAAGCCAACTGTTTTGCTGTCATCCATTGAATGTTTCTCATTGTTTCTGGATTTTGAATTTGTCATTATTTTTGGGTTTTGTTAGCAATTAATCGCCCTTCTATTTTGTACATAATTTCTTTATTGTCATTAAATCATTTGTGATGTTACTTTATTACCCTCGACTTATTCTCTTTTCTTACTCAATTTTGTACCTTTTTTGGTAATTCTATTTCTTCCTCTACTAGAGCATTCGTACAAACTATTTATTTTACTATTCATATTTCTGTTGCTTTTTTGGTCCATGATATAAATCTTTAATCTGGTTTGGTTATTAAAGTTTCGTCATGTGAGATTTTAACCTTGAATGTTGCTAAATTATATTTCATTGTGCTAGAAAAGAACTTAGTTACGTGAGGAAAAAAAAAACTTTAGCTTGAATGAAAAAACAATTATATTTTTTAGAGTAAAAATATTTATGCTATGAGTGTTTTTTCCGTTTTCCTTTTCTTTTTTTTTCTTTTTTGAGCGGCTCCTTTCTTTTGTCTTAAATAAATAAATAAAAATTCATTCTTGGGATTTTTTTGGGGGAAATAAATTGTTTTATGATACTTTGTTGTACTATGTGTGTGTATAAAGTAAGCTAAAAAACGTTTTCTGGCTTTTTTATATAAAAATAAACTCAGCATGATATTGAGGCCTTTTTAAAAAAATGTTCTCTTTGTGAAAAACAAAAGAGAAAATAATAACTTAATTTTTAGTTGATTGATGAAACAATTCCTTTGATTAGTTTTTTTTAAAAATATTGAAGGTTTGATTTTTTTGTTAAATAATATGAATATTGAAGTTTCAAATAGAATGCATATTGCATTTAAAAAAAAAAACATATTAAATAGAATGCATGTATATCATGCTAATGATCCATTTCTCATCCATCATTGATAAATTAAAGAACTATATAAGGTGTTTTTGAATACAATACCTTGGTAGAATAATAATTTTCCCCGTTAATTTCAAAAGATTTGCCCTGTTTAATTCTAACCTACTTTATTTTGTAATTTATTTTGTTGATTTAAAATTTGATAATTTAAGTTTTTTGGCTCAAAACCACGATGCCATATCCAACATAGGATTCACTGGAGCCCCACGCATAATTTACTAAATCTGAAGTAATTTTTTTAGTATTTCAAATATATACAAGTATAAATATCTAATATTTATATTTTTAATTATTTTTAATAGAATAATGCAAAACATTGACATAATATGACAAAAAAAAAAAAATCAAAAATTACCTATCAACTATTAAATCAATAGACCTACAATGTTCAACCATGCATGCTTAAGCCCCACACAAAAATTACCAAATCTAGAGTAAATTTTTTTATTATATCAAATACATACACGTATATATTATAATTAATTTTAATATAAATTCACTTTCAATCACATATGACAATCAAAAACTTTTTTTTCTTTTCATAATTATAACTAAATCTAATATCTAAATCAATTGCGAGAGAATCTTAAAACAAGTGAGGTTTTTATTTTTCTCATACTATTCATATACTCACAAAACATTGTTCATTGGATGATATTTTTATGATTTAAATCAGTAGCATTTTTTGTTATTTTAAATGTGTTTTAGGTATCTAATATGACCACAATACTGTTCATCCTAATGTTACTATGTATTGAGTAGTATTTTTTAAAATTTGAGATTTTTTTTAGGCACTTTATATGTAAATTTTTGCTCATATTATTCTTTTGTCTTTCAAATTTTTAACAACTTTTCTTTCGATCTATAACTTTATTTGTATTATAATCTGATCCCCGACTATTAAAAGGAGACATAAGCAAAAAGAGAGAAGGGAGGATAGAAAGATCTATGTATTGATTTTTTAATAAATTTTTAGAATATTGTTATTTGCTCTTAAAAAATTTGATATGATTTATGTGATGGATTCTTTTAATTTTTAAATGATAGTAACATGGTTATACACATATAATGCATTTTTAGAATATTGTTATTTTCTCTTAACAAATTGATATAATTTATATGATGGATTATTTTAATTTACGAATAACAATATTTTAAAAATTCATCATATATATGTATATAATTAATTAAAAAAATTAAGATAATTTGTCTTATATTTTCTAAAAAAAATTATAGTTAAGAATCTATGGATTTTTAAATTTCATTACAAGTTTTAGTTAAGAATCAAGATATATAAGAATAATTATATTCTTTTTAGTAAAAATTTTATGAAAAATACAATAAATAATAAGTTAAACATAAAATTTTTAAAAATTAAAATTTTTAACTTCAATTTGATATATTTTAGTAAATTTATAATACAACACAAATCATCAAACTAAAATTATTTTTTAAAATATTTTTTTATGTTATGTGCGCGGTTAAAAAAATTAGTTTAAAATAAAAAACATTTAAAAAGGAAATTTGAATAATTAAAAAAATATAAACAGTCAACTGTGATTAAAGAACTAATTTATTATTTTCCAAAATCAGAAGAACTAACTTATAAAAAAGAAATGCAGCGATTAAGTTATACCTTACTCATGCTAAAATGGTACTGTTGTTCTTTTTTCTTAACAGTAAAGAGGTTTGCAAGTGGCACAGATGTCAAAAACAATCTCCTTTCAAGATACGCCACGTCTGTCCGATGAGTTACAAGTGTATAGTTAATCGATTTTTTGTGATTTTATTTAAAACCTAGTCGATTATCTATGCATTTTGCGTGAGTCAACACTCAAAAAATAATATATATATATAAAGTTGTATATAATAAAATAAAAAATATTATGTAATTAATTTTCACGAGGTAGAAATTGTGCCTAACTAATAAACCAATTCCTATATTCCTAATAAAAAATTAAACAAAATTGATATAATATCCTACGCAGCATCCCCATAAAAAAAATCTTCAATTTTTTTTTTAAATTATAAATAGTTAAATTTTTATAAAATGATATATTATCCAAATGCTTTTAAATTGTGTTTGTTTAGAAAAAAATAAGTTCCAAGAAAATGAGAAAAACATGAATTTGTTTTCCTCGTTTTCTTTTATTTTTTTGACGTTTGTTTCATGTTTATGAAAAAAATCAATGAAAATAATTTTCAATAAAAAATATTATAAAATATTTTTGAAAAAGTGTTTTTCGAGTTAAAAAAGAGAAAAACATTTTTCCTCTCTCTCACATGCTATTTGCTTTTGCGTTACTCACCTATCTCTCAATATATTTTAATATTTTTTTCTTTGTGTCATTTTTATTTAAAATATATCAAATTAATTTTTAATTATTTCTTATAAATTATTAGTAATTATTTAATTATTTTTTCTCTATTTCTACTAACATTTGATTTTCGATTTATAAATACATTAACTATTCTTAAAAATCATATTTACACTTTAAAATTATTTTTATAATAAATATTTCAATAATTTATCGCTATTTTTTTTTACTAGTATCCGAAATACCACCTAAACTATATTTAAATGATTGAAAATGATTATTATAAGACTATAATCATTTGTGAAAATTTTGAAACAAATTAATTCATTAATAAATATATTTTTTTCCCAACACTATTTATTTGCAACTAAATTAATAATTTATGACTAATTTTAATTAGTTATAAAATTTTGTTAGTAGTTGTAGTCAATAATTAGTTACAAATTATTTCAATATTAATCTTTTGAAACCAAATGAATAATTATCTACAAATGACAACTAATAATTTATAAAATTATTTTTTAAACTAGATTATCATTTCAATTTCAAAAAAAAAAAAAAAAGAATTCTTAAGTGAGTTACCAAAATAACAATGTTGGGATTACTTATAAATTTTTTTTTACTAAATGTGAATGTTGACTTGATTTTATACCAAGTAGTTTTGATGAATTAGTTGGATGGTTAAAGCTATACATTTTATTTTTTGATTTTTTGAACTTAAATCTTGGAGTTAGTATTCATAAAAATTTATTAAATTTTTTTAAATACATCTTATATTGTGAAATTATGAATATGTCTTATTGAAGTTTTCTCAAAACTCATTGATATAAAAATCGTAATCTATTTTTGTACTTCAGTTTCTGTATCACACAAATGCTGAATATATTTTTCAATTAAACAATAAACTCAAAAAAAAAAAAAAAGCAAGCTAAGCCTGCACCTTTGGGCGTGGTGAAACAGGACCTTGCATGCACAAGCTAGATACACGTGGGTCATGCTTCTATATAAAAATAAATAAATGATGCGTCGCTTGTGCCTTGTGCTGTAGACGACGTTTCGTCTTCCAGTAACTTCTGATGAACATAGATTCGTCGGAAAAGTCATTGAAACATCAGGACTACCAATTTTCATCATCTTAGATTCAATTTCAACGTATTTTTGCCTTAAAATATTTCAAAATCACTAAAATAAGCTAAAAAAAAACTCATTTTTAATCTTAAACCTCATTTTAATTTACCTTAAAATACATAAAAATCTAAATCAATTTTAAATAAAAAAATATTTTAGAGTCTCGATTTAGTTTTTTTGATCATTTCATAAATTAAGACAATAATAAATAAACTCTCAATGCCACGATGAACACACATTAAAATCAAGATCGACAATAAAAAAGAACGGAACGAGTCTCATCATGATTTTCTTTTTTTTTCTTATCGTTTCTCTATCGTTTTTAAATTGGGGATCAAATTGAGATGTAAATAAAGTTGAGAAATGAAATAAAAAATTTTTAGAAAAACGAGCTACCAAAATTAACATTTGTTAAAACCTGCGTATTAAATGCATGAAGAAAGGTTGAAAATCACAATAATTTCATTAGTGAATGGTTACTATGGGTCTAGATAAATAGTGTTACAACGGTAGATAATTCACTCTTCATCGAACGGTAAACAGCCAAAATGTTTTAGTTTTATTGTTGATTGTTGATATAAATCATGTACGATAATACGTAAAACGAAAGATGTAAATGCGAGAGCCACGCGTCAAAGTTTAATTTTTTAGGTAATGAATGACATATAAGAAAGACTCTTCAGTCTTGTCTCGTAAGAGCATGACATACGTGTTTAGGTTCATGCCATGTGGTTAGTTCTCATCCATACACTATCAAAATGACCTTTCCATCAAAATGTAAATGCATTAACGTTTGAAGAGAGAGACTAGTAAAAGAAATTTAACTACAAAATTTGAATAAAAATATATCATGATCTATTTGTTATTATTTTTTTTAAACTAAATAAAACTTTGTGTTATAAGCTTCCGATAAGGTTCGTATTGAATATTTTTTATTAAGCGTAGCACAACAAAAAAGAAAAGAAGAAATAAACATCTGGTTAATCATTTCATGGAACCTTAAGTATTTTTTAAAAAGTGTAGTGTAATATATGAGAGTTGGAATGCATTTTATTTACATTTTTGGTGAATTCAATTAGTCTTTTATTTATAAAATGTCAATTTATTTGTACTGGTTTGATAACTAATTAAAACATACTTATTTATCATCTAATTATCCAATCCTATAAAGTATGAGACAATTATGAGATTTTAAAACCTGTACGAGCTAGAGGATGAGATGAATACGAGACAAGACTTTCATTCATTTGATATTCAATTATACCATGGCTTTTACGCATTAATATTTTTTTAAGAGTGCGAATAGAATAGCTTAAATCCTTGATATCAATATGTTATAGTTGTAAATTTTTATTTTATTAGTCCTAAATTATTTGCAAATTATATATATATATATCCAAAACTATAAGAACTAAACCACAATCCAACTCGGTGCAGTACGGTCAGATCACCAAACATACATATAACTGTGAGAGCACCCGAGAGAAAAATTATTGTGAGATTGGTCTATTATGGTAACTCATTGCTAAAAACGAAGAATGGTATTCTAGGCTTCTAACACCTTAGGATGTTATCATGCTAAAAAAAGTAGGAAAAAAATATCCCACGTCACTTACAAAGAGATGCAAGATAAATTGCCTTCACGGTAAAGTGCAATTGCCTACAAGGCTTGTTACGTACAATATTTGAGTCATGAGATGGTTTATCCCAAAACCTTACGCTTAGAATTTTTATTTTTATTTTTATTTTTTCCATAAAAGGCAGCCAAATAGAAGATAGTTGGTGATCTGACCGTACTGCACCGAGTTGGATTGTGGTTTAGTTCTTATAGTTTTGGATATATATATATAATAAAAAGATAGATTTTGGATTAATGACACATGATTTAATTTTTATAGTTTCTCTTATGTATAAAGTTGTAAAAATAAACTAGCAATAATAAGAATCCAATCAAATCAAATAATTACTCTTGAAATAAATACGATATTATTAAATATCAAAGAAATAAACAGAGTCACATACATGGAAAAGTTAACAAAATAAAAAAAATACTTTTTATATCAAACAAATATGAAGAAAAATACTTTTACAATATTAATAAACGATAATTTTAGTATATTTGGTTTGTAAAAATAGTTTAAAATTAAAAGAAAAGATTTGCACTAAATTATTTGTTTATTAATATAACTCATAAATTAAATTAAACAAGATGATTAAAAAAAAAAAATCTTAACACATACAAGAAAAAAAGAACATAGAACCTTAACAAATGTAAAAAAAAAAAAAAAAAGGACTATAAATGGGATATCCTGGCAACACGTGTCTCAAAATTTTATTTTATTTTATTTATATTTGTTTCAAAAAGGTTGCCCGGTCAAAATTTTAAATACTGTATTTTTTTTAAAAATATCTTTAATCATTTTGTTTATTAATTAAAAAGTTAATGATTGTCTGAAAGGATATTTAAAAAAATTATAATTAATATATTTTTTTAAATTGAATGAAAAGTTAAAAGGGAATAGTATTTTGAGACAGAGGAAGTAGTTGATATCTACAAAGAAATTTAGGTTTGGTGTGGTTTGGAGAATAAATAGGTTGGTGTGATAGGGTGGGTTAGGTAATAAAAATTGAAGGACTAAGAATCGATCCTTGCAATTAGAAGCGTGCTCTTTAATGCATAAAACCTAAAGCCCAACGATCCTGCGACACGAAAATCATTGCTCCTGCTGTTTTGGTATTAGAAAAAAGGAGAGATTTTGGTTTCTAAGAAAGCGTCTTTAATGGTCAAATAAATGTAGCTCAGATCCAACTGTCCATGTTGAAGACCTTTCACCACAAGTTAATTTTCTGCCTAGTTTTTTTTTTTTTTTTAATAATAATCACAATAAACAGTTTTTTAATGGTCAAAGCAACTTGGTTGAGAATTATCGGAAAGCTGGAACGTTCAGAACCAAATTAATAAGATTTACAAGCTTAGAACTCAATTGAGCATGAATATATTGACTTAGGGATTAAATCCAGGTTTCTCCTAAACTAGAAGTAAGGAAGGAAAATCAAGCAGGATAGACAAAACGAAAGAGAGGTTCCTCAGCTGAGGGAAAGGAAACACGTCACGGCAAGATAAAATACTTGGAAAACCGAAGAAACAAACAGTCTGTTGGGAAGCGTGTGCCATCGTCATCTAACCTCTCACATTAACATTTCACTCCTCCTCCTCCTCCTCCTCCTCCTCCTCATTATTGCGCCAAGTAATCTCATCATCTACCTCGATCGAACTACAATAAATAAAATTCACCCACCCCATAGCCCCCATTTAATTCATCCAAACAAGAAAAAAAACCCACCTTTATATTGACCAATCTATCAAAGCAGGAGCAACAAAATACATTTCAGGAATGGCTACTATCCAGCTCAAGTCAGACGCTATTTTTGAGCTTTTGCAGCGGTTTCTTGAGACAGACGAGGGTATTGCTGTCAAAAACAAGATTAACCTTGTATATCAATTCAATCTTGCCCCCGAGGTAATCCCACGCCCATTCTTTTTTCTTTTTCTTTATCTTTTTTGTTCTTTATAATTTTTTTTTTATGGGTTTGAATTGCAGAAAATTGGGAAGGATGAGGTGAGTTATACTATTGATCTCAAGAAAGGCGAGGTTATCAAAGGTGTGGGCTTTTTCATTATGTTTGCTTTTGTTGTGTTCTCTGATTGGAATTTTAATTTGTCCATTATTATGGATACATAGAGCCAGAGAGAATCATGAATAATTGAATATTTTAAGCTTGCAACCGTCAGGATTCTACATCTTGTAAGTAAATAAAACGGGCACGCCAGATTTTAGAGGAGATTCCCAACAAATCTGTTCTTTTTGGCCCTATTTCTTCTTACATGACAGGAGCAACCGGAGAAACAAATTAGAAAGAGGGGATTTTTTTTATTTATTTGGTTAAGTAAAAGAGAGGATCTTTAGTATGTTGAATAGTGTAGTAGTCACCCTCATTGCAATCAGGACTGATGATAGATGGCGTAAGAATAGCTGCTGTATAAAAGCTTTAAGATGACAGCATTTTAGCTTTCTAGTAGATTGTGAGGTTTTCACTTGGTGAGAGCTACCAGATCTTGACTTTCTTTTGAGACTCTTGTTTGTTTTCGGGTGAGCCATTAGAAAATGCGTTAAATACTAGGATTGTCCTCTCGCTTGCTCATACACACTTCTCCTTTTTGTTAAAAAAGTGTAGTCGTTGATTGTACGAGATTTTTGTAAATTTAGGGCCATACCAAGGAGGGAAGACTGATGCAACATTTACCTTGAGGGATGAAGATTTTGTGAAGCTTGCTGATGGAAAGTTGAATCCCCAGGTGGCTTTCATAAGGTGGGAACTGGGAACTTTATCTGTTCTATTCTATCACTTCCTCAATTCATTTTGTTCCTTGTTTTCATTTGCGTACTTAAAACTGATTCATTTGATGCATGCAGGGGGTTTTGAAGGTCAAGGGCAGTTTGAGTGCTGCGCAGAAATTCACTCCTGACATCTTCCCCAAGCGTCCTAAGCTGTGAGCTAGTACTGGGAGAGCAGAACTGGTTGAAAGCTGTCCATCAACATCTCCTATTGTTGAATTCATAACTAGCTTTTTTATTTTTATTTAATATGGGACTAGATTGGAGGCTTTAAGTCTAGAACATTCTTTTGAATTATAAAGCTCCACAATCCTCTCCATCTATCAATTTTCATGTTGTCTCTCGGACTACAAGATCATTAGATTGTGCAATGCTTGATTTGTTTGCTTCACACGATTCACATCTGACTTGACGTTCACCCTTAAGTTGCTATGATTATTTACCCAATCATGCATATGTAAACTTTTGTGGTAGAAGTAGCGACTACCTATTTAGTTTTCGGATGGGCAGTTGAGACGGGCTTGCGAAGAGTTATTGTTGGCCCTTGTAATTATGATAATGGGCCCGTGGGTTAAATATAGAGATTTATTGCTTGCCAATTGCTACCGGTGTTCAATAAATGTCATCAATTGAGTTTTAGAAAGATAAAGTTAAGTGGCGAGAGAGAAGGATTACTAATGTCTAATATCATCACCCAGTGCTTTTGAGAGCTAGAAAATTTTGTGGGAGCTTCATTTTTGTTATTTGAAAGCATTTGATATACGAGTTTGTGGCTGCCTCAATGTTGTCGTCTGGTTAATGATGGATTCTATTCTACATCTCAGAAAAAGGGAAAATCTCTCAGCTGGCTGAAATAATTTGGAATCCGTGGGGAGGATTTCCAAACTTTGAAGGGCCTCGTAGGGGTTTGTTTCACTTCTCAACAACAGCTGGATAGTCGTGCTTAACTCACTATTTGACCAGACAGGTTGAGCACATTCTTTTTATGGGCCCGAATAGTTTTCTTTTGAAGAGCAAACCCCATATATTGTGAGTTGGGCTGAGCGCTTTCCCAAGCCACAAACCAGCAGCCAACAACCACCATGCTCTATAAGTACAAGCACGCCATCTTACTCTTCATCAAATTTTGAGCTCTTATTTGTGGTCTGTTTAGATTATCTTTGATTACACTTCGTGCCTTGTACGCGATTCGCTTTCCCACTCACATTTCTTTTATTTTTCCATCATCTTCAATCTACAATTGGTGCGTGTTGCCGGGTTTTAGAGATGTGCTAGCAAAACTCTTTACCATTTTAAATTCCATACGTCCCATCTGAGATACATGAAAGGATAATTTTAACAGAATATAATGATTACAAATCGCAACCACATACGACTGACGATAGACATCCCAATCCATTTAATTTTCATTAATTGGCATTTCTATTCAAAATACAAAATCTAACTCAATAAATGTTGAAATTTTCAAAAAATAGAAAGACAGTTTGCCGGCGCAGCTATGGTCAGGATTTGGAGTGTGAAAGGACTAGATACACAAACATTATATGGAGCCAATATGAAAGGTCGACCTTCCTCCTTTGGTTTATGTAAAGAAAGTCAAGCATTTTGGCTATGATAAAAAGACGTGAATAATTGAAGGGATAAGAATCTAAGATGGAAGTTGGAACATTATTGGACAGCATTAATCTATATATATATATATGGATGGGAATGCGATTTGAACATCTTCTCTAAAGAGTACTATATTAGGTAGCCAATTTATGCGAGAATATGGGATTGAAAAAATGAAATCGCGAATGAATATGTTTCTTAATTGTCTAGATTTCTCCGATCACTGGCAAGCATCATTTAATCCGCCAACCACCCTAGAGCCGCCCTACAAGAGAGACAAAAGAAATAGAATGAACTTCCCCACTTCACTCTGCTTTTTCTTTTTCTTCTTCTTCGTCTCACTATCCCCTTCCTTCGCTTCTCCTACGTTACTATTTCAGGTATGGGCTACCCTGTTTTTGCATGTGTACACACAGTCAGTCATACACATCTTAGATCGTGCGCAAAAAAATATTTGAATTCATGTCTTGGCTCTTCACAATAACTTATCATCCCTCCTTTATTCAATCAACTATCCCTGCTGTTTCTTGAGCAAATCCCAGTTCCATTTGCTACCTTCTGCAGTACAACTAGTTGCAGTGATATTTCCAACGTCTTATCCAATGCTGCTTCTGTTATGCGGATATTACTACTTTAGGATGAAAAAGTAAATCAAAGTGCCTAACATCAACGATGCTCATGTCCGATAAAGAACATTATGTTGCGTCACTGCTTGACTCGTTTACGTAGTCAATACTCAATAGCAATTAGGCTATCTAGTCTAGCACCCCTTCTAGTATTGCTTGACTATGAATTTTATGAGTCGTTATGGACAACTTAGTTTACTTTGTGGATTCTTAAACGCTAACACGCCAATGAGGAGAACAAAACAAAGAGAATGGGCTTTCTCACTTTGTGCTTCTTCTCTCTCTTTTTCTCAGTTTTCCCTTTGTTCACTTCTTGTTTATTATTTCAGGTAAGGCATGATGAACCTGCCATTCATATCCCTCCCAAAACCTAACTGATTTTGTATATGTACATTTAATTGATAACGAGTTGGTGATCATATGATAGGGGTTCAATTGGGAGTCATGTAACAAGGCAGGAGGTTGGTACAACTCACTAAAGAACTCAGTTCCTGATTTGGCTGATGCTGGAATTACTCATGTCTGGCTTCCTCCACCCTCTCAGTCTGTTGCACCACAAGGTACTTTATAAATAATTGTTCATTTTAACTGTCACTTCTTTATTAATCTGTCCTCATATATTCTCTGCTATAAGGTACAAATTTTATCTCTAATACAATTTAGTTACCCGAACACTGATATTTGATGACAAGAGGAATTTTGTTATTGCGTTTAATTTGAAGAGGCATAGGATTGACAATCAATAATGAAGAATATTTGAGCTATGTTTAAAAAACAAGAAAACCTAACAAAACAAGACATTTGGTATTCTTGTTTTGATCTTTGAATTCCTTTTCAGGAGACAAAACAGCTAATATACACTCTATTTAAATTTCTGCTAGGATATATGCCAGGTAGGCTGTATGATCTGAGTGCATCAAAATATGGATCACAGGATGAATTGAAATCACTAATTGGGGCTTTCCATCAGAAGGGAATTAAATGCCTAGCTGACATTGTCATAAACCATAGAACTGCTGAGAAGCAAGATGGGAGAGGAATATGGTGCATTTTTGAAGGTGGAACTTCTGATGATCGCCTTGACTGGGGGCCGTCCTTCATTTGCCGTGATGACACTGCCTATTCTGATGGCAATGGAAATCCTGATACAGGAGGTGACTTTGGAGGTGCCCCTGATATTGACCACCTCAATCCAAGAGTTCAGAAGGAGCTATCAGATTGGATGAATTGGTTAAAGTCTGAAATAGGATTTGATGGATGGCGATTCGATTTTGTTAAGGGTTATGCTCCTAGTATTACCAAGATTTATATGGAACATACTTCAGCAGATTTTGCAGTTGGTGAAAAATGGGACTCTCTTGTTTATGGCCAAGATGGAAAGCCTGACTATAATCAGGATGCGCACCGGGGTGGACTAAAAGATTGGATTCAAGCAGCTGGTGGTGCTGTCACAGCATTTGATTTCACAACAAAAGGGATACTTCAAGCTGCAGTGCAAGGAGAATTATGGAGGTTGAAGGACTCAAATGGAAAGCCACCGGGATTGGTTGGCCTGTTGCCACAAAATGCTGTGACTTTCATTGACAATCACGACACCGGATCTACTCAAAAGCTTTGGCCATTTCCATCAGATAAAGTCATGCAGGGATATGCCTACATTCTTACACATCCTGGGACCCCATCCATTGTAACTTCCGCTCTGTTTTTTAAATTTATTTGTTTTGGCAATAATGCTACTATTATGCTTCGACATTTAAAATCCTTTAGCATGTCTTCTGCCAGTTGTTACGTATATACTAGGAAACTTTCCTATTATTGCTAACTGCAGAAGCTTTCTATGTGTTGCAGTTTTATGATCACTTCTTTGACTGGGGCCTAAAGGAAGAAATTGGCAAGTTGGCAACTATTAGGAAAACATATGGGATTGGTTTTGGAAGCACTGTGAAGATTTTAGCCTCTGATGCTGATCTTTATGTGGCAGCAATTGATGATAACATCATCGTGAAGATTGGGCCCAAGACCGATCTCGGAAACCTTATTCCCTCAAACTTCCAGGTTGCTACATCTGGAACAGACTATTGTGTGTGGGTAAAAAAGTGAATAACAGGGTATCCTGTCTATATATGTATGAGACTGCTTACAAGAATAATTGTTTAAGCTCTACAACAACTAAGAATTGTATTTGCATGATCTTAAAGTGTCACTACATTTCTTCTGTTTTCATAGTTGTTCAAGGCAGCAATGCTTCAGCTTTAATATTGTGTTTCATCCATCAAATTGCAGGAAGAAGAAAAAAATTTAGCTTAGCTAACGATAATTTGTACTAATTGACTGCAGATAAGTTTGTGTGCCCAGATTACTTGCATTGATCTTCTAAATCCTTTCACATCAATGTCCAACAACCATAGGCAAAAAAGCATATCTGAAACAGGGTCTGAAAGTCTAAATTACACATAATAAAACCGAACTAGAGAAGAACTAAGGAAACGTACGTACATGGTGCGGATGTTCTTCAGTAGACCCTCACAATGTCCCAGCCAAGCCCTTAATCAAAAGGAAACCCAATCGGTAACCTTCTCATAGGGCATCTTATAAACAATATCGCACCACTCAACATTCCATCTCCCTTCTTTTCCACTACGATTTCCGCACACCAAACCTCCAAAGACTTTTCCCTTCCATTCATATCCCTCACTTTCTTACCGAAACAAGCACCAGCTTTCCACCTATAATCACTATCTTGGTGACACCAGGAAATTTTGGTGGCTCCCTTCCCTACCATTTCACCTCTTTCATCACTCCTATCTGCAAATCAAAACCCCGAAGCCCTTCCCGGCAATAACGGCTATCATACAAAATCCCATTTAGCTCGCACATCTTCATTTCGCCTACACCATAGCTATACCACTTGTTCCACCCTCCATTGTCCCAATCATTCCCTGACAATGCGTAAATAATACCTTTTCGGTCATAACATTTAGTTCTCGCCTGCTTTAGTTTCTGGCACAATGATTTAGCATAAGCAGTGCTGCCATCAAACAATTCCCACTTTTGACATTCTGGATTGAAAACCTCATAGCCATCCATCCATAAAGACTATCGGCCTGCCTGTACGTCTGTCCACCACAGCACTCTGCTGCCAACGAATATTTTACCATCCAGGATGAAGACAGTGACAGCCTTGTGAAGAAATTTGTTGTTCGGAATAGAAGTGCGTTCCCGTTTGTGGGACTGGAACCTGCAGTCCAGGGTCCACGTATCTTGGGATGGTGCATTTGCAATAGGGGAGTGTTGATCTTCACTAATGTGCAACCACCTATGACATATATCTTGCGGCCTATGGCAACAGAGGCAGAGCGAGATACTACCCGGAAAGGGGCAGGTGAAAGCGGCATTAATGACGAGTTTTTGGCCGTTTCAGCCAAGACAGAGAGGGAACCATTGAGGATTGTCTGTGACGCTCTTGCGGAAAGTAAGGTAGAGACATGTTTCAGAGGTGTGGAGGAGGGAGCGGGTATTGTAAAAGCCTTTGGAAGAGAGAACGGAATTGAAAGATTTGGAGACTTAGGAAAAGGACTGGGTGATGGGATAATAGAACCTGTGCCAGGATGTTTATAGCAATCTCTTTCGGAATTGCAGGTTGTGTTAATAGGAGTTTCCTATTAGGAAAAGGGGTCAAGCTTCCTGGTGGTTCAGTGGTGTTCGCCATGGTCCGATGGTCAGTTGATAATAGGAGTTTTCAAGATTGATTTTTGGGGTTGTGGAATTCCAGATTGTGTTACATTTGCTTTTTCTTAAACCGCGTGTGAATGGATGCAATTACAAACATTTGCAGATGCGGTCCTGAAACACAACACTAACATTACGCTTAATTTATAAAGAGTTTATTCTGACATGCCAACCAAGAGGCAATAGGGGACTTCAAACGATGGGAAATAATGGAAGGCTCATAATCCTAATTATTAAACAAAACTATAAATAATGCAATCTTAGGCCTCAAACAAAACACCAGATGTATTGCACTAAATAATTTTAAAAAAAGTAACCTGTAAGGAGAAGAAATAAAATTAAAAGGTGAGAAATCACGGTTGCATTTCACCAAATTTAAATGTTTAAATCAATTTTCATGTTTACAACATTTTTCAGGGTAAGATTTGAATTCGAAGTGGAATTCTATTTATTAAATACACACAGATGCAAATAAGAGGGCTACTGCAGTAAATCAATTGAAAGATGTTAATTCTAAAAATACAAGCTTTTTTTTTACTGAAAAAAAGCAACAGTTTGGCAGCACAAAAGTTCGCAACTCAAAGATACCACTCATATTGAAAAAAAAAAAAAAAGGACCTGTACTTTTAAATTAAAAAAAGAAATCCTAAAATTGTGATTTGTGATTGTGAAATTATGAATCGGTGGAGATGAGAAATTGTACCATCATATCTCATTTTCAGAATCATCTTAGGCTATCTTGCTTGTTATGTTTGGATTTCTTTATCAAAACTTGATATATGGTGCAATGCATATTGATTTCGTGTCTTGTTGGTTGTGAATTTTCGTTTTTAATTTAACAAAATGAAGTTTTGAAGAACTAGCTAATGACAATAGATGGATACCCGCACCATTAATTCAATTTTTTTCTTATTTATTATCAATTAAAAAATTAATGTATAAATCTTTACCCAATTAATATCTGCCCCCAATGTTAATTTATCTGTCTATTTAATATTCATTAAATACTTGTTAAATTTAATTTGTTAAAAATATTCACGTTGGTTCCTATAATTTTTTTAAAAAAAGTTTTTTATCCTTAAAATTTGATTTTTTTTCCATTTTGATCATTTATTTATAAGTTTTTTTATCCTCAAAGTTTTTGAAAAAAATATTTTGATCCTTGATTTTTAAATTTTATGCAATTAAATCTCTACATACTAATAAAAATTAATGGGTATTAATAGGGTAAAGAGTGGATACCCATATTTTGAAATCATTTTAGTGAATATGTTTCTTTTTTATTCTTATCCACTTCAATACCTATTAAATATTCTTAATGGGTATCCGTTTTATACCCGATTCATTGTTATTTATATAGCTGACTAACTAGCTGATGGTTTCCTTTTTTTTTTTTTTTTTTGGTATTCTTAACAAGAAGTTTTGAATGAACTCTTTGCAGAAGAAAACAAAAAAGATGCAAGAGATAAGAATAATATATGAAACAGAAAGAATTGAATTCAAGTGAAAGATTTGATTTCAAGCACGTGAATTTGATCTATCCATCAATTGAATTTTCCAAATAGCTATGTTCATCATTAAAAAAATCTAAAGGTTCATGCACTGGTTTAAAACTTTAAATCCGCTTACTTTATTTAATTAAATTTATAATTCAGATCACAAACTCATATTCAAATCCATTTAAAAATCTTACAATTCAAGATTGCTACATCATAAATTCAGACTTGTGCAAAATCTAAATTGATTACTATCAAAACATTTAATTCATCGAACTCGACATCTCAGCATTGCTAAATTATAAATCCAAACCAGTATAAAATCTAAACTGTGGTCAAAATACCACCCAAGTTTATAAGGAATGGGTTTCGAACTCTTGCAATGGCACGCATGGACCTCTTAGCACTTAAAAAAATATAAGCCACTATGCTATTTATAATTTGGATACTGATTAATCTATTATCAAATTTGATATTTTTACAAATTTTTTTCCAAAGAAAAAATTACCAACACTATTACTATTTTTTTAAAAAAAAGATGACGAGAATAATAAATTTGATAATATATGTATATTGCAACACTCTTATAATGTTATTAACCCATTCGATTAAATTAAATTATAGGATGAATATATAACATATTTTGATATATTAATTAAATAGAACATGAGCATACACAATTAAAGTACATATCTTAAAAGATAATGATGTTCATTTAAATTAGAGACAATTTCTAGAAAAGCTATTAAAAAATTCTTTTATTAAAAAAAACTTACCAATTTATTTTTAATTCTTTCAAATTTAAAATAATATTTGTCTTATCAAAACATCTAATAGGCAACCTCTTACGTAACAGTAATTATAGCTATTGAGTGTTTTAGTAAAAAAAAATATTATTTTGGGTTTGAGAGATTTAAAAATAGATTAATAAATTTTTTAAATGATTTTTTTAAAGGTATATTTTAGTAATAAGAATAATTATTAATATTATCCACATCAGTACCTATTATATATTTATAATAATTATTTATAAACAGATAGAGCGGATTAGCATCCCTACATACATACAAGCAGGCAGTTCGATTTGATTACCTGTCGAAACGGGTCAGTGATCTCTGCAAAAGCAGATCAAAGAAAACCCTCCTTATCAACGGGCAAATCTCGCGCCAAAAAGTGCGATAGGCTTAAATACTAAATAGCATGAATCTGACCTGTTTCTCCTCTCCAAAGCCCAATCTATCTTTCTTTCACTCTTTACTCAAGTCTCACTTTGAAACAAAGAACCCAAAATCAGCATTACTTCTTTTTCGCCACATATTACAATGCAGTGTGAAACCAAATGATCTTACTTTCTCATTACTTCTTAAATTCTCAGTTTCAAATCCACAAAATGAAAAACTAGAAGCCAATCAGATTCAAACCCACTTGCTAAAATCTGGCTTTGACCAATTTGTCTATTTAAGCACTGCTCTTCTTGATTTTTACATGAAATTGGGATGTGTAAATCATGCACGTAACGTGTTTGACTATATGCCCGACAGAGATGTTGTTTCCTGGAATGCGTTGATTTGTGGGTACTCGCGAAATGGGTATGATGTTGATGCTTTAAAGGTTTTTGTTCAAATGCTTAGAGAGGGTTGTTGTCCACTTCAAACTACGTTGGTTGGTTTGGTTCCGTCTTGCGGGCGATGTGAGTTTGTGTTTCAAGGGAGGTCTACTCATGGGTTTGGGATCAAGGCTGGTATTGATCTGGATTCTCAAGTGAAAAACACACTTACATATATGTATGCTAAATTTGGGGATTTGGAAGCGGCTGATCTTTTGTTTGAAGAATTAGAGGACAAAAGTGTTGTTTCTTGGAATACCATCATTGGTGCTTATGCCAGAAAAGGTTTCTTTAATGAGTCGATGATTTTGTTGAAACGAATGGTAGCGGAAAAGGTGGAAGTGAATCCAGTTACTATTATGAGCCTTTTAACAGCAAATATTTGTCCTGAATTGATCCACTGTTATGCCATCAAAACTGGACTTATCAATGATGGCTCAGTAGTTACTTCATTAGTTTGTATATACGCAAGGAGTGGGAGTACTGAATTAGCAGAACTGCTTTACTGGTCTTTTCCGCAGAAAAACTTGGTTTCATTAACTGCAATTATTTCGAGCTATGCTGAAAAAGGAAATATGGATTTGGTGGTGGAATGTTTTGCTCGAATGCAGCAGTTGGACACGAAACTGGATTCAATTGCTATGATTAGCATCATTCATGGAATCACAGACCCTGCTCACTTGAGTATTGGACTTACTTTCCATGGCTATGCATTAAAGAATGGTTTGGATACCGGTAATTTGGTTTCAAACGGGCTAATAAGTATGTACTCCAAGTTCAGTGACATAGAAGCTGCATTCTCTTTGTTTTATGAAATGTCTGAAAAACCATTAATCAGTTGGAATTCAGTTATATCTGGCTGTGTGCAGGCTGGAAGGGCAAGTGATGCCATGGAGATTTTCTGTGAAATGAAGATGTTTGGACTTAGTCCTGATGCTATTACCGTTTCTAGTTTATTGACTGGTTGTTCCCAACTTGGATACTTACGGTTTGGGGAGAGACTTCACAACTACGTTCTTAGAAACAATCTAGAAGTGGAAGAATTTGTTGGAACGTCTCTTATAGACATGTATACCAAGTGTGGAAGCATCGAGCTTGCAGAAAGGGTATTCAACAGCATCAGAGAACCGTGTCTAGCTACATGGAACACTATGATTTCAGGGTGTAGTTGGTATGGCTTCGAACATAAAGCTCTAAATTATTACTCTAAAATGCGAGAACAAGGGGTAGCACCTGATAGAATCACTTTCTTGGGAGTTTTAGCTGCTTGTACCCATGGTGGTCTTCTTCATGAAGGGAAAAAATACTTCCAGATCATGAAAGAAGAATTTGGTATGGTGCCAAATTTGCAACATTGTGCTTGCATGGTTGGTCTCCTAGGCCGGGCAGGTTTATTTGAGGAAGCAATATTATTTATCAAAAATATGGAATCTGAACCTGATTCTGCAGTGTGGGGTGCTTTGCTTAATGCTTGTTGCATTCATCAAGAGGTCAAGCTTGGGGAATATTTGGCCAAGAAGTTATATTTGTTGGATTACAGAAATTGTGGCCTTTACGTATTGATGTCAAATCTCTATGCAGCCACAAATAGGTGGAATGATGCAGCAAAGATGAGGGAAATAATGAAAGATATTGGTGGGGATGGCACTTCAGGAGTCAGTCAAATTGAAGTAACTTCTTTACAAGAAATGGATCGAGACTTATACCAACAATTCCTTCAATTCTAATTTCTATAAGAAAGTTCAGCACCGTCAGCATGGCGACCTTTTGTTTCGTTTTATCTATGGGTGCTAAGGCCCAAGACTGTCTTCTGTGGGCCTAGTAAAAGACCCCGGACCCATAATTGGTTAGTGCAGGGTCCAGATCTAGAAAGACTTATGCCCGCATGAATCCGACGTGTGACATCCACTTCTTCATTCATTCGAAATGGGAGAGAGAGAAAACCCTACAACGCTACCTACAATACTAAACGAAAGAAGCCAAAGCTAAAACAGCTCCAATTTCAAATTTGGATCTTGGCGCTCTTCATTTAACCAATCCCTTTCTTTCAAAAAACTCGAAAGGCCGAAACCCTCATTTCTCTCTGTATCGGGGGAAAAAAAAAAGCAAAAACAAAAGAAAAAAAGAGCAGCAAAAATGGGGGGTTCTCAAAGCCGTGAAGATCTAGAGCTCTCAGACTCGGACACAGAGTCCCAACAAAAAGAAGAAACAGAAGAAGAAGAAAGCTACCAAGATGTCAGCAATGAAACCCCAGAAAAATCATCCTCGAGCGGAAGAAACAGACCCAAAACCCCATCTTCTCTTGATGAAGTCGAATCTAAGCTTAAAGCCTTAAAACTCAAATACCCATCAACGACAACCCAAACCCAACAAAGCCCTAACCCTAATTTTAAAAATGGTGTCAAACTTTACCTTCATATCGGCGGTAACACCCCAAAGGCCAAGTGGGTTACTTCAGAGAAGTTGACTTCTTATTCTTTCATCAAGACCTCAAAAATTAATGGTCAAGATGAAGAAGATGATTCAGAGTCAGAATCTGAAGGAGTTTCTTGGTGGGTTTTGAAGGTTAGTACCAAAATTAAAGCGAAAGTCGCTGTTGAGATGCAATTAAAAACATTTAAGGAACAGCGCCGTGTTGATTTTGTTGCTGAAGGTGTTTGGGCTATGAAGTTTTTTAGTGATGAGGATTATAAGGTTTTCAATAGTAAGTATCAGGATTGTTTGTTTGAGAATACTTTTGGGTATGAGTCGAATGAAGCAAACAAGGCTAAGGTTTATGGGAAGGATTTTGTTGGGTGGGCGAACCCGGAAAAGGCTGATGATTCTATGTGGGAGGATGCAGAGGATGATTTCTTGAAAAGCCCTGGATCTGCGACTCCTGCAAAGGGAAATCAAGATTTGAAAGAGGAATTTGAGGAGGCGGCCAATGGAGGGATACAGAGCTTGGCTTTGGGTGCGTTGGATAATAGTTTCTTGGTTGGTGATTCAGGGATTCAGGTTGTTAAAAATTTTAGCCATGGAATTCATGGGAAAGGTGCTTATGTCAATTTTGGAACTAGGGATCATAGGAGTGCTTCGAATTTGGTGCATTCGACCCCTAAAAAGGCACTTCTTATGCGGGCTGAGACTAATATGTTGCTTATGAGCCCGATGAATGAAGGGAAATTGCATTCTACTGGTTTGCATCAGCTTGATATTGAGACTGGGAAGATTATTACTGAGTGGAAGTTTGAAAAGGATGGAACTGAGATCACCATGAGGGATATTGCAAATGATAGCAAGGGAGCACAATTGGATCCATCAGGATCGACATTTTTAGGGTTGGATGACAATAGGCTTTGCAGGTGGGATATGCGTGACCGGCATGGGATTGTTCAAGATCTTGCTGCAGCTAATACTCCTGTTCTGAATTGGAATCAAGGACATCAGTTTTCAAGAGGCACTAACTTTCAGTGCTTTGCAAGCACTGGTGATGGATCAATTGTTGTTGGGTCTCTTGATGGGAAGATTCGATTGTATTCAATCAATTCTATGAGGCAGGCAAAAACAGCTTTTCCTGGCCTGGGCTCACCTATTACTCATGTTGATGTTACCTTTGATGGGAAGTGGATATTGGGCACCAGCGATACTTATTTGATCCTTATCTGCACTCTTTTCACAGACAAGGATGGTAGGACGAAGACTGGTTTTAATGGTCGTATGGGTAATAGAATTGCAGCTCCAAGATTGCTGAAGCTGAATCCTTTGGATTCACATCTAGCTGGTGTTAATAATAAGTTCCAAAAGGCTCAGTTCTCTTGGGTAAGTAGACTTATATCCCTTTTAACATTGAGTTTGTCAATGGTTGTGTTGCATCTTCTGTTTAATGCATATGATATGTATGCTGTCCAACCATGGCCATTAGATGCATGAGTTATTGGTGATACTCGACATTATTTAGTCCTTTTTTTTTTCATTATCTTTTCATCAATGCCTAGACAATTCAAAATGCGAATGATTTGCTTTAAATGCCAAGCTTTGGAGGTTCCTTCAGTAAAAAAATTCTGATAAGCATAATAAAAATGGCTGTTAATATTGTTTGACTTATTTTTGTTTGGTCTCCATTTTACTAGTTGTTTTCCTTATGGGCATAATACCTACTTATGCACGTCTTGTACATCTCGCATATCTTGTACGTCTCTCTCAGAAGTGTTTTTGCTGTACTGTGTCTATGCATGAAAACTTCAACATTATGTGAGTTTAAAAATTTTGCAGGTCACAGAGAATGGGAAGCAGGAGCGCCATTTGGTTGCAACAGTTGGCAAGTTTAGTGTGATTTGGAACTTCCAGCAGGTAAAGAATGGCTCCCATGAGTGCTATCGTAATCAAGAGGGCTTGAAGAGCTGCTACTGCTATAAGATAGTCCTTAAGGATGACTCCATTGTTGACAGCCGTTTCATGCATGACAAGTTTGCGGTCAGCGATTCCCCTGAGGCTCCGTTGGTGATTGCAACCCCCATGAAAGTCAGCTCCTTCAGCATATCCAGCAGGCGCTGATTGTTGAGTTATTACTCTTCAGTTGATCACTTTCTCAGTGTCGCAAACGCTTTTTTTCAGAACTTCTGAATTGTATTTTTCTATTGTTGTTTAACTAGGTATGTTTGGATTTATCTTCCTGGAAAAATGATATCTGATTGTACCGTATGTGGAGTTTTACGTCACATTGGCAGTAATTAGATTTCTCCTCGCATTTGATTTCTCCTCGCATCTTACTGTTGTATTGCTTCTCACTGAATCCGTAACTCAGTTCTGTCGTCCTGATTTCTTGTTCCCTTTTGACCTTTTCTGCTTGTTGTCAGGCTGCCTGGCATCCTCCCTGGCTGTTTGATTGGCTATCACAAATTTAGAGGGAGTTTGTGGGACCATGTTATCTTGTTTTCTTTGTATGGATGAGTTCATATTTTGGATGGTAGTTATATACGCGGCTATGGTGGATGCCTTAAGTTACGTCTTCCTGATAGAGAGAGAGAGAGAAGGTAAGAAAAAATGGCTGTTGCAATAGGTAGAGCTTTCGCTATTCAGCCATGTTTCTCTTCCTCCTTGTGCTCCTTGTCTGAGAACATAAATAAGTCATCATTCGCAGCATATACGTTTTTGCCTGCCAAACCTAGAAACATTCGTTGCACACCAGTTGTGGTTCATGCCCAACAGCGACCCACATGGCTTCCTGGACTTGACCCTCCACCTTATCTTGATGGAACGTGAGCCACTGTGCTCTATTTAATTTTGACATTTAACTTAAAAGTTTGTGCTGTTGTTTTTGTTTTCTTAATCCTGTCCTCTTTCTCTAAAATTCAGTTTGGCTGGAGATTTTGGGTTCGACCCACTTGGCCTCGGAGAGGACCCGGAAAGCCTGAAGTGGTATGTGCAGGCAGAGTTGGTCCATGCTCGCTTTGCCATGGCTGGAGTTGCAGGAATTCTTTTCACAGATGTGAGTTACATAAAACCGTCTTCTTATTCATCTTGATGGGGGCATTTAATTCGTTTCCTATTTTCTAGACTCTACCTTCTTGAAACTACTGCTGAAAGAAGAAAAAACTTGTTAGATAGACCGAAAAAACCGAGAGAAGAGTGTGGAAAACTAGATACAAACTTGTTAATTTACATTAACAGTCAATATGGATTTTCCTGCTGTAGCTGATCGATGTCAACTACTCGGTCAAGGTTATATTTATATATCCCCGCTACTCATCATTTAGTACCTCTGCTGCAGTTACTACGCGTGACAGGGATTACCAAATTGCCAGTTTGGTATGAAGCAGGTGCTGTGAAATTCGAATTTGCAAGCACAAGGACTTTGATTATTGTCCAATTGCTCTTGATGGGGTAAAATGCTTATTGATCGTTGATTAATTCTTATTATGATTATTGTGTCAAATGCATTGTGCAAAAGCAGCATTAGATTGCAATTTAATTTTGGTTTGGTACGTTTGTTTGCAAACAATTGACCGAACCCACGTTCCTAATTTTTGGATGCAGATTTGTTGAGACAAAAAGGTACATGGATTTCATTAGTCCTGGATCTCAAGCAAAGGAAGGATCTTTCTTTGGATTGGAATCTGCACTAGAAGGCTTGGAACCCGGGTAATTCTGAATTGAAAGAAAGAAGAGTTCCTTCAACTTTAAAACCTGAAAAAGCTATAATCCCTTTAGTTTAATTTATATTCTCTACGTATAGTATTTTTCATCTATTTTTCCAATAATTTTACTAGAAAACATCTTGTGAGCCTGAGAATTAAATCTTTATGTGACTAACATGAAATAGTCTGAATGAGACGTGCGCTTATTATACTTCAATTGCATGGCACTTTATCATTAACATTATTAGGTTTGCAAAAAACAGCTATCCTGGAGGTCCTCTGCTAAACCCTCTTGGCCTGGCTAGAGATATCAAAAATGCCCACGACTGGAAGCTTAAAGAGATTAAAAATGGTTTATTTTGCTGAATTCTTCTTCTTCTTCTTCTTTTTCTTGATTGCTTCAAAGGCTTCGCAGTTCATTTAAATTAAGCATTGATTTCCCCTGCAGGACGGCTTGCTATGGTAGCCATGCTGGGCATTTTTGTGCAAGCTGCAATAACTCATACAGGTCCAATTGATAACCTCGTAGAGCACCTCTCTAACCCGTGGCACAAAACTATCGTTCAAACCCTAGCTAACTTTAGTTCCTATTCGAAATAGGAGTTTGACAATTGCAATGTAAATTTAATTACACCATAATTGGTTTTCTTTGTTTCAATTTTCTTTAATGTATTTCTCAAGGCAACTGAAGACTCCTGTTTAATAAGGGTTAACTGGTTAATGTGGATCCAATAACTACTTATGTTTTTTTGTTCATAACCTCAGGTGAAAATTTCATGATTCTGACTTGCTGATTAAAAAAAGAAATGTTCATGGTTCTTTCACAAAACCGTAACTTTCCCTAAAATGAACGTTGAGGACTTGAGGTATCCTTTTTAATATTTGGGCTTCTATATTCGGAAAATGAGCTAGCCTAGTTATTCGTTACTGGGCTTTTTTAGAGCCCACAGTCAACCAGTTAGCTGCCTCCAGAAAATACAAACTTTTTTTTCCCTTTGACATATGAATTCTTGACTTAGAAACCAGATAATCCATATTATTTAATTTATCGGTAAAGTCTGTTATCTTAAAAGAAAAGGTATAGAAATTAACAATTAAATTAATTTTATCAGATGAACTTGTACGAATATGAAAGGTAACAATAGCGCACACACAAATACATTGTATATAGTAAAAGTATCTCCATGCATATACTCATTATGACTGAAAAATAGAAATTTTTGCAATGGAATATCTGTTTATTAATTAGTGACTAATTGATTTTTTTTAATTAATTAAGAAAAGTGAATGTGCAAAAACTTTCAGAATATAACATTCGACCTAAAATACTGATAAAACGCAGTTATTCCGACCTGCCGGATTCGAACCAGCGACCTAAGGATTTCAGCAGCACACTACAGTCCTCCGCTCTGCCAACTGAGCTAAGGTCGGAGACGATTTGTTGTACGGAATAATAATATATGTACTATTTACTTTCGGTAAATCGCTCAACAACTTTCATCAGGTTAAATAGGTAAAAAAATAAATATTTTAACTTGTTTTTAAATTAAAAAATTCAAAATTATTCTTCTATAGTTTTGGTTTACTTGAAATTGGGTTCTTTCGTCAGATTTTGTACGGTTCTATTTATTATGTAACGGATTTTGCACGTAAAAGTCATGTAATTTGTGCACAAATTGATTTAAATTCTTATTTTACTGGCTTATTTTTTACTCTTAAATGAATTTGAATTTTGAGCAGAAAAAATCGTAAAAATCATGTTTAAAAAAAGTGATCAGAAAAATTTCCATGATAAAAAAATAGAATTTGACTTTTGAGTAGAAAAATAATAAAAACGTATTTTAAAAAATAATAAAAATATCCATAAAGAAAATCCGTGGTAAAAAAAAAAAGAATTTGATGTTTGAGTAAAAAGAAGAATAAAAAATATATTAAAATAGTGATTAAGAAAATATATTTGGTCATTCTATTAGATTTTTTCCATTAAAAAATATCCATTATTCTTTTTTTTTAAAGATTTTTTCTAAAAAAAATATTTAAAAATAATTTATTTTCAATATGCTAAAATATGGTCCTTTTTATCAACTTTTTAAATATATGTTTTATTCTTTTTTCTGCTTGAAAGTCAAATTCATTAAGGGTTCAAATATAAGTCAATGCATTAACGATTTAGATCAATTTATGTATAAGTCACGTGACTTACACGTGTAAAATTCCTTTAATTATGAGCAAAACATTACAAATTTTAACAGAGGAACTTATTTTCAAATAAATCAAAATTGTAGGAGATCAATTCTGACGATTTAGTGGAGAGATCAGTTCTCAATTGACTTAAAATTGAAAAATGATTTGACCAATTTAGTCTTATTATTATTTGCTTTAGATGCACATGCTGGTTCCTTGCTGGATTTGGGAGAAAGGATGATGGAGTCTTTTTCAGTGACTTGAGTTGATGAGTCACTGATTTTAAGATAGAATCTCCTTTTGTCTGACATGTTAAGTATAGTCCAGAGAAATTCACCATGCACTTTGATGCTGAACTATCACACGGCTACCTATTTTTAACTACCGAATTAAAAAAAGAAAAAAAGAAAAAATTGAAAAGAACTCCTTTTATTCAGAACTATCATTAGGTTCAAGCATCAAATAATCAGCATCCACAAAAACCAAACAATCTAATATACGAGAAAAATCCAATCTTGTTTCTCATAAAACATACAAATTGACCAGATTCTTTGATTAAACCAATCTCACACATTTACAATGATTCGATGTTCAAATGTCCGAAGCCTATACGTCAGAAAGCCAACTAATTATATATGTCGATCCGAAACCAAGAACCGTATTCTGAAATTATTTCCTCTTCCAAAGCAAACCAGCCATACAGCCATGCCTTTCAGGGAGACTAAAATATAAACCAATGAAACTTATAACACACAATCAATCACAGACATTTACATTTTGAGTAAGAACTCCGATCTTTTCGTATCCAGGTTGTGGTCAATGTGAGAAAAAATGCCCACTAAAACGAGGTAAAATCATGGCAGGAAGGACAGCAAATCTGTTTTCAGCAAGAAGTTACCCTGTCTTGGATGCATTTGACTTCTTCTTTGCTAAAAACAATAAAAATCGCGGGAACAATGATTTCTTCTTCTTCCTTGGGACCTTTATTTCCGGAGAGGAATCAGTTTCAGTGTTACTTCCAGGTATATACGATTTTGGACTCGAAGCATAATCCACAGCAGCATCCGGTGCACGGTCGAAGTTCTTTGATTCTTTCCTGCCCTCGAAGCTTGCCTTTGGGCTTTTATTGGGGTTTGCGACTCCCTGACCAGATTCACTAGCCCTTCTCCGTTGCTCGTGTTCAGCCCTCCATTTTCTCAACTCTTGTTCTACACCCAACTTCCCTTCCTTGGCCTGCTCAGCCTTATCCATTGCAATTTTCAGAGCTTCCTTTCTTGCAGTCATCTCTTGATTCACTTGTTCCAACTTCTCTGCAGTTTTTGACTCGGATTCCTTGGCTACCTCAATCTGAGAAATAGCAGTTGCTACCCTCAGGTTGGCCTGCTCCTCTGCTTCATGGGCACGCTTGCTGAGCTCATAGTACTCTTCTAAAGAAAGTGTTACACTGGTCGGCGTATCCACATCACTGGTGTTATGAGCTGATTCACTCTCTTGCAAAGCTTTAATTGCTGCTGAAGCCAATTTTTCAGAGGCTCTGGCAGCTTCTATCTCCTTTTGAGCAGCAAGTAATCTACTCTCCATCGTACTTGCACCAGCCTTTGCTTGTTCTGCTTCTTCCTTCGCCTTGCGGAGCTCTTCGTGAGCCATTTGGGCAAGTGACTTGGCCTCATCTGCTGCTTCTGCTGCTTGCTGAAGTTGCTTGGGAATCTCAACCATCTTTTCTCTGGCTTCTTTCTCTTTCATCTGAACCAGGGCTATTTCTGACCTAGTCTTGTCCAGCTCAGCCTGAAGAGAAGCAACTGTTACTGAGGCCATTCCTTCTCTCTGCTTAATTGTGGCAAGAGATGATTTTTCTTTTTCTAGCTCAGTTTGTAATGATATAGCAGCCACCTTCAAGCAATTTCCTTCGGCAGTTGCTTTCTCAATGTTGTGTTTTACTTCTTCCAGTTCCTTCTTTGCTGAAGCAACTGCTGCTTGTATGTCGGTATGAGTTTTTTTCTCTGGTTCCCCTTGCTCAGCTTTTGGTTCTCCTTCAGTTTCCTCCTTTATTTTAGATTCCATATAAGCTGCTAATTCAGCTTTCAAATCAACTAGCAAAGCTGAAGCAGTGTCTAGTTTTGATTTGAGATCCTTTGCTGAAAGAATTTGTTGGCTAAGTTTCTGGAGCTCCTCTTCTGCTTGCTTTAATTCCTTCTCCCAGTGAAGAGAATCTTGCTCCTTGGCCATGGTTGCTCCTATCCTCTGCTCCTCTGCCTCCAGATGAGCAGCATGCGCAGACTCTAAGGATTCCTTTGTAGCAATCAACTCAATAGTGAGTTCCTCTACAGTCTTTTCAACTTCCTTGGATGCAGAAACAGCCTCTTCAGCCTTTTTCACAGCTTCATCTTTCTCACTGACCAAAGAAGCATATTCCTTATGCAGTGCTTCCAACTCGTCATTAACAGCCTTTAGTTCTGATATTGCAGCTGAATGCCTGGCTTTAGCAACCTCAAGTTGCGCCTTGGCTGCAACACTAGCTTCATCAGCAATGCCCTGTTCCATTTCTTCCACCCTAAGCTTGGCAAGCTCAGAATCTTGTTTTGCCTGATGCTCTTCTGTCTGTGCCCTCTCCAGATTGAGCTTTAGCTCTTCAATTAGTCTCTTAGTGCTGTCCAACTCCTTAAGAACTTGTGTTTTTTCCTCTTCAGCAGCCTCTGACCGGTTCTTGTACTCAGGCATCTCCACCTGTACTGTCTCTAGTTCTTGGTCTACAAGCTTGCGTCTCTACAGAGTTAGAGAAAAAGCCTCCAAGTTAGTAATTATGGAGATGGAAAAATGTTTGCTGGTGGAGCACAGCGATCAAATAGATGCAATGATTGGGAGCAAATCAGGAAGAACTCAAACTGCTAGTCCAGCAATCATTCCAAAAGGAGAAGCTTCCAATTTTACACATGCAAAAAGTGCACAATTTGATAAGATTTCCTTTCGACAAGGATTGCATAAATATCTTCTGTTCCTCTTTCCCTTCCAATAAACAGTCAAATGTGAAAATATTTTTGAAAATAAAAGGGAGCAAATAAGCATTTTGCAGTAACAACTCTAACATAATTTTTGGAAGGAAAAGAGAAATCTTTACTTAGGTGCTGATGCATGTACTATTTCTTTCAAAAGTAAGCTTTTCGGATTTTCCTTGTGGAGCATTACCGAAAGTAGCACAGGTGATCACACATGAGAATCTGCCCACTTTCTTAGTTGCAAGCCGACAGCATCAAATATCTAAATCCAAATGCTGTTGGTATGAAGAGGCTTGCTAGTCACACCAAAGCCTTAACAACAGACTCAAGAGTACATTCTTCTTAAGTCTCCTCGAATGACAACCTCTTACAAAAAATAAATAGATAACCATCAAATAGACATCCACTCCTTTCCTAAAACCACCAGTGTAACCAGAATTTCCGTAGGGATTAAAACACACCAATTCAACAACGTATTCTTGTTTCCAACATGCCATTTACTATGGAGATTTCTATTAAACACAGAGTAGAATATTTTCTTTGCCGCAAAATCTATAAAAAGATAAGGAAGCAAAAAATATTGCTTCCTTTCTAATTATCAAGAGTGTTGACAAGTGCTTGATGAAATAGTGCTGAAAAGTTATTATTGCCAAGAAAATAATCAGTATGTGTGACATCAATGACAATGGCAGATTGGGTGTACCTCTACAGTCTGGATTCTATGAGCTTTCCAATCAACAATTCCTCCAAACTTGGAAACAGCTTCTTTAACAGATTCAAAAGGTGCTGCCGTATCAATTAGACCTCTGCTTGTATCACCCTGCTTAACAAGTCGAGGAGAGTCAACAGATTTTGGTGTCCTGAAAGCAGGACTCGCAACCCTTGCATGCGGAGAAGCTAGCTTATCTTGCTGCACTCTAACCTTCACGTGGGGCAAAGGAGGTTCATCGGGTTGTGCTCTTTCATTAGGTATGGGTTCCAATTTTCCTTGAGATTGCTGTCCATCGGAGGAATTTTGTAAGGCTTCGGTCTTCTCTTGATGTTGTAGACCATTCGAGGAAAGTTCGATGCCTGTGGTTTTCTCTAGAGATTCCTCCTGTTCATTCAATGCATTTTGCCTTGCTTCAGATTTGGAATCGTCCTTCAATACAACTTGGTGGTTTGACTCTATTTTTTCAACTGATGAAGATGAAACTATATTGCCTGTTGTGGGAACTTGATCAAGTTCTACATTTCCATTTGTAGCAGGGCTTGATGGAGCTTCACCGTGACGAGGACCATTATCTTGGGGTGATTGTAAAGGAGACACAACTTCAGCAATTTTCTCATCCTCCATTAGAGAACAAAAAAATCAGCAATCAGCGCCTCGATGATATCTAAAATCGGGAAAAAGAAAAAGAAACAAAAAAAAACTTAATTAGAAAAACACGAGCACTAATATTTCCAACAAACATGGCAGAAAAAATCCATAGACCTTTTCTATATCTATGAGATATCCATATGAACAACCGTTACAATCCATGAAAATTTAGAATTAAAATATATATATACAAGACCAGATTCAAAAAACAGAAAGTTTCATAATTTTTCCTCCTAGCAGAGAGAGATATTTTCTTCAAGAAATGATTTGATTAACCTCCTACTTAAGTAGGCAATTTAGATAAATAATTCTGCGAATTCTTCGTTTGATTGCTGAAAATTGTTATACATATTAAAAAGAAGAAGAAGAAGAAAAGAAAAGCAGAGATAGAAAAATAATTAATACAAAACCTGTAACAGTAACCTTAACTCTAACTAACCTATTGATTAAGATTCTATTATATCATTGATAGCTCAGTTTGAGGCTAGAAATTAAATGTGAATATCATCATCGAACTAAGCTTTATTAAATGAATGAATTCCAAAAAAAAAACTTACTCAACGAAGTCAGCGTAGAAAAAGAAACAAATCAAAACAAGAAACTGGGGAAGCAATCGAATGATCAAACTTAGAAAATTGAAATTGAAATCCAAGATGATTTGGATTAAAAGGTCTGAGTCTGACTGGTTCAATGAAAAAACCAAAAAAGGAGACAAGAAACAGAAAACAGAGGAAGAAGAGAGGTACCTGGTAATAACTACCTGTGGTTGAGAAATAATTGAACGGAATTTGAACTTCACGTAAAGGAAAAATATAAATGGAACTAAAAAGAGGAAAAAAGAGAAAAAATAACGGAGAGGAAACACGTGCGCGAGCTGGAGCCTCCTTCGTCTCGCAGACTAGATCCATCTGGGCGTCCTATCTTTCTCTCCCTCCAGATTAGATTTTTATTTTATTTTTTTGTCTTTTTTCGTTTTATTTTTCCATGGGGGTAGTGGTTGTTTTTTTATTGGAACATATAACTATTTGTGAGAGTGAGAATCTGAGAAAATAGTTATTTCTTGAAAAATGGAAATCAAAAGTTGTTTTTGGCTAAAACAACGCAATGTGTTGTGCGGCAGCTCAACTCAGTTGGGTCGTTTTGGTCCAGCTCCCGTCCACGTCTTTTTCCCTCCTATTTGTTTGCGCACTTTATTTTCTACTCCCGTTATTAATTTCCAACAAGGAAAGGAAATACCAGTAATACTGCCATAATAATGATTATATATCTTGGATTTCTTTTATGGTGGATAATAAACGAGGAATTCTAAACCCTATTTTCTATGTGAAATTCATCCCTTGTTCGCTTGATGCTTTAATCTCTTGCATATCATGCAATTGCTCAATTTTTTTTGACATATTATTTTTTTTACAAATTATAATAACTCTTAACATTTTTGAGGTTTGAGTTAGAGAACAAATAGAATGTCTCAGAACTTGTTTTAGTACAATAAAGTTTTAAATCTCAAATAAAAATCATATATCAAAGATTGATTGGGAAATGGAAAAGATGTTATGTGCTCAACTAGATTTTAAAAGTTAAAAATTTAGAGACTATTAAAAAATAAGATTTGAATATAAAATCTTTGAACATCATGAGCTAAAATTCTTAATTGTTTCAAATATATATACCATTGTGTCTAGCATTAAAATTATGACAGAGTGATTCATAATCTTTTTTTTTTTCTCATATGATTTTTTAATATATAGCACTTTTTTAAAAAAAATTTTTATCAGTCTAAAAAACCCTAAAATTTTATCAATAATTATATAAATTCTCTTTGAAATTTCATTATATACTATATAGAGATGGAGCATTTAAAAATTTGAGCTCTACTGCTAGTTAAGATATAAAATTGAAAGGAGAGAATTCAATACGACCACATAAAATATTTCTATTTAAATTCTAATATTTATTGATGCAATACTTTTGGCTATTTAATTTTAGCGAGTTTAAATTTAGAATTTTTTTCTTAAATTAGCATATTAATTATTAATTTTAGATGCTAACTTTCAAGCAACTAATAAGAGTTCTATTAAGTTAAAAGTGCAAGTAAACCATTTATAAAATGATTTCAATTTAGCATATATTACTAACTGAGCTTTTTAAATCTATTACGTATCACTGATTAATGTAAATTAATAAACAAAACCCACATGTCAGATCACAGAAGGAGCCATTTATTATAGTTAAAAATACCTCTAATTTACTCCTTCGCAAGCTTAAATATAATTATTTTAAGGGCATGTGTGAAAAATTTATAAAACTATAAGGACTAATATAAACTTGGCTCTTCCACTACAATGATGCCATTGCGTTTTTAAGTGCATGATTAGGTTTTTTTTTTGTTTGGTTGATAAGTAACCATCATTATTTAACTCCAAAAGCCGTGAATTGATGGAATAAATTTGTCGAGTACTTTAGCAAAAGAAGAAGCATATTCCAAGTAAATATGGTGATAATAATAATAATAAGTAATAAATAAAGTGATAGCCTATGGAGCCTGTCCGCGTAGCATAAATAAAAGCCACCGCCCCCATCGTGCATGACATCACACTGTTGACCTGACGTCTGAAAAAAACCCTCCTGTCGCTGTCAAGAGACTGAAATACCCGGTCTCAAGGTATTCGTATGCCCAATTTTTGTAAGCTACGTACTCGTAGTTATAATATAAGTGGGGACCGCCAGAGTAACGGTCTGAAGACCACTAAAAAGAAAGCCAACAATGTTGAAGAACGTAAGTAACCCTCGTAGGTAGCTCCATGGAAAGGGGCTCTAATCTGACGTCATCAACCTACACGTTAAGTAGTAGGAGTATGTATTTTTGAATAATGTAGGAGAAGTTTGACGCTTGATGAATAGGGAATGCTGAGAGAGAGAGAGAGAGAGAGAGAGAGAGAGAGTTGGCAAAAAGTAAAAGTGGATTTTTCCATTGGAGTCTGAATTCTGAAACAAATGAATCCCAAGGAGTAGACCCTCATGGGTCTCGACGTTATAGAAGGTTTTAGAAGGACAGAATCTATATCTGGCAAGGTGCATGGAGTGCTCGGGAAATGGAATCAACTTGGCTCTCCTTTCTTTCTGGGGCAACTTTTAAATAGTACTACTGCTCGGTAGTAGGTACCAGGGAGAGTGACTCAGAATTCACGCGAGTTCTTGGCCAGCAATTTGTTGCAACAAAATACAAAGGCTTACCTTTTTGCATATTGGGCCTAAGCTTTTTGTATATTGGCCCTAATAATCGATTCAAACGTGAAGGGGCAATCTCAAGATTTTGTTAGAACTTGCAGCTAAAGTATGGATATAGTAGCTCCTTGGAAAATGGAGCAACATTTGCTTTGCTTCCATAGTATATGGCCACTTCAGCCATCGCATGAAAAAAATGATGGGACATTTCTTCTTTGTTTATTCATTATTATTATTCTCATTATTTTATTAGAACCTTAGAGAATGGATGCATTGCTTTAAACTTATAATGCGTACCCTATAGTTTAAAATTCTTTTTATTATCTCTATAGTTTTGTACAAATTTCAGTGATACCATTAATCGTTTAAATAGGTAGAAAGTCATTTTTTTTCATTTGGGTATGCTAAATTCACCAAATTAAGTTTTATTCCCATCATTATATTTTAGATATTTATCGATATATCCTCCATCAATGTTTATTTATATATATTCGTTGATATTATTTTTTCATCTGATTTCAAATTTAACACACAAACACAAAACAAGAAGCTTTTTCAGCCCATATCATTACATATAACAAAACAAATTATCAAACAACTAGGAGACAAAAGAATTGAAGCACCTGGAGTTCGACATACCTATTAATGACATTAACCTTTTTTATATATATATATATTTTTTATAATGGGTATTTCTTTTTTGATCTTATCTAGCCTATTGATCCTTCACTACGGTGAATCATATTTTTTCATATTGTTTTAAATTTTGCTCTAATGATATCTAAAATTAATCCCTTGATATCTTGCTTATGAGATTTTTTAGAAGAGAAGGTTTTTTACCGAATAAAAGATGATAGAGTCTTTACAAGTTGTAAAGTGATAGCAAGAGAGTGTGCTTTTATTTTGTTGGTTCATTGTCTAATTATTGTGGTATTGAGATTTATGTCGTATTGGAATAATCTAACATATAAGTTTTGATGATTTATCTATTTATTTAATCAAATGATCTATTTATTAATTTTTTTAACATGTTTCTTTTTTATATAATTAATAAACATAGATGAAATGAGTAGATCATACATATCTTCAAGACAAATACTTGCATCACTTTGTGAAAGTAATCCAAATCTCTAAACGGTTTCAAGAATCATTTACAATGCAAAAAGGAAAATTGTGAAGGAAAAATTAGCAAGGCATACAAAAATTGAAGCAATTGTGAAGAAACAATTAGCAGGGTGTACATTATACTCGTGTTGCTTGATAGGAAAAAAGAATTGATTGTTGTGAAGATTAACGTAGCTGATATTGACATAATTACAAATGAATTAGAGGTTACTTTTTCTAGTATTTTTCCTTCAACGGCAGGCGAAGGCAATGGATTTTGTTTTGTAATGGGATTTTGTTCAATATTTTTATGTTGGAGAGACTTTTGGTATTTTAATTGAAAAAATGTCAAAACAATGTGGACCCAAATATCTTTATTTATTTTGTCATTTGTTAATTCTAATTAGTATTTGATATAAAATATATATAACTATTATCTAACAAACATTGATGGAGAATATATCAATAATTATTCAGAAAAAAAATGATGAAAACAACACTTAATGTGGTGAATTTAGCATTATCCTTTCTTTTCTTTTTTTCTCTTGCACTTCCCCCTCTCATTGTCTCGTTTACCCTCTCCACTTGATTCTTTGTCTAGCCACTTGGGCTCTTTTCGGGCAACTGTTAAACTCTTTATTAGGCTTGGCCCACTATGTGTGGGAAATACAAGCTTGGATCTTTGCATTTCTGGGCCTATTGATTGTTTCAATTGTGAATTTGTAACGACAGACCATCCCAAACTTCCAAACTATTTTTCTTTCTTGAATGCATCTTGCCACGTCCTCAGGAAACTTTTTATATTATTCATAAGTAACTATTAATACTTATTCTATATAAAAAAAATTTAAAAAATATGAATAAAAATTAAAAATATTCTTGTAATTTTTAACGGATGATTCTGTATCCTTTAAAAATAAACCCATAAAATATCTGTGGTAAAAATGTAATAGTTACTATCCAAGTACTTTAAAATTTCTCCTTCTAAATTGTGCTTCTCTCTAGATCGACTTGCATGACTTCACGGACTGGATTGAAAGATTCAACTACAGTGGAAGTCAACGCACTCACCTACAAGGAAAGTGGGAACTCTATTGAAAAGTGGATAACATCTACACTCATTGCTTATGATCGACTGACCACAAGATCGAGAAATAATAATAATCTTACCATGAAACATCTAATTTATATTGATCATCCAATTTGAACAGAAAATGCTTAAGCAGCCACGGTTCTTTTTAGCTGACCTGCAAGAGACCTTTAGAGTAAATACATATGGACACAACAGTACCATTAAACTTACAGAATACTACTACCAATTTTATTCTTGATATAGATACGTTAGATTTCTTGTAGGATCAATGAATTCTCAATATTCAAATTATTTGTTAAATTTATTATGCAAGCACCAACTCTACCCAAGTATTGTTAGATTTCTTCTAGGATCAATGAATTCTCTCAAGATTCAAATTATTTGTTAAATTCATTACGTAAGCACCAACTCCACCAAGTATTATTATGGTAACAAATATTTTACACAGCAGTTCTACAAAATTCAACAATCTGAATTATAAAATTCATTAATAAAATCTATTTATTTAACACATGAGATACGATAAGCTTTGTATTGGTATTTGTCATTATATAATTATCTAAACCAAACATTGTTTTGATCGATATTAAAATTCCGTGATAATATATTTTAAAACTATTAAGTCATTCTTTAACCATTAAAAAATCATCTTTTATCGGATATGCTTAGTTGCCGAATCCTAATATCGTGATGTTGGTGTAAGGAGAAAAAACGACTTCAAATGTAAAAATAAATTGCAGGAATTGATAGTTCACCCAAGTGATCTAGGATAATCTATAAGGGAACATAGATACTCAACTTTCTCTTCCCCTACATCAGAATATATAATGCTTTCTTTGCAGAATTCTAAACCTAATGGTGGTTGAATTATTAAACTTTATATTGATGCCGACAAGAATAAAAAACCACAATATCGTTATCATTGGGCCGTGGAATTCCAAATGAATACGAATGGGATCGCAGTAGGTGCACCTAAACTGATTGCCAAACCAAAGTTTCCCTTCACATTTCTTTAGCTATTATCAATAATTATGGATTTGCATTCCATCATTTTCTTGTGTTAGCACTTTCAAACCTACTTTGATGATATTGACCACTAATCAGAAAATTAAGTACCTTCTGGCAGTGTTCGTTACTGAATAAACAAATATTAAAGCCAGCTATTTCTTAAGAAGGTTCTAAATTAATTTTCTTCTGTTTCAGCCTTCGTGTTGTAGCATCTAGAGGAACATTTAATTAAGGCTATTCGTTGAGACATAAACGAGAAGTTACTGATAAAATTACAATCTAATTAGATTTCTCTCTTCGTTCAAATCGCAATTCAATTGGAGTACTTTTTTTTTTTTCTTTCTTATCTTATCTTCAAAGTCGCAACAATCTTTCTATATCCTTACTTTTATATTGAGTATTAGGAAATTGACAGATTAGTTCTCTAAACCTCGAAGATTTATGATCTTCCTGTTTCAAAATGAAATCACTATCATCTTGTTACCATCAAAGGCTAGATGGATATCTAAATGTAAAAGTAAAAAAAGTCTCCGAGGATGCTAAAGTAGCATAAATTGATGGACCAAAAAAAGGCTGAATAATGATCTCCTTTTTCAATCCCATGTATTTTTCTAGATAATATATATATGAAGGAGAAAAACTACCGGAAGAGAGGGAAAGCAATTCCTAAAAGGCCTTATATATCCGTCCTATTCACACATAAATTATATGGAACAAAATCCCATGCATGTCTCTAGAGAATACAAAAATATGAAGGAAAAAAAAATCAAGAAAAGGAGAGAAATCTTGCTACAAATTTTCAAATCAAATGAACCCTTCTAGGATCTGTAACATTTATTTTCCAATGCTCATCACTGAACCCGCTCTTTCTGGCCATTTTTCTATCCCAGTCCAACTCAGTTTTTCTCCGCTTTGTTAACCCACAAAACTTTTGCAACTTCTCATCCATGTCGTCATGAAATTTCCACCACCTCTGATGTGCTACATCACTTGCATAAACACGTTGATTCCCTATATTCCAGTTACAATCATAGTCTCTGTAACAAAGCCAAGGCTTTAACCCCAGATAATGTATGGCATAAACTTTTGGTGGGTCTGCCCCAAAGAGCTCGTTCTTGACACCAGCCTCTTTGGTAGTATTAGCCCAAAAGTTTTTCAAAAAGTTCACTCTTCTTGGTAATCTATGCCACCATACAAAAACTTCATTAAGGAACCCTTGATCACCTCCATTGTAGGAAATAATGTCCTTGCGTCGGTCCATTAATATTTTGAATGTGCAATTTGATGGCTCGATGACCATGATACCAGAATTAAAAATCCATACATCATTCCCTGTGGCTGTCATTTGAGGGAAGTGAAAAAGGATATCGAGGTTACGCAAAACTATGATGTCTGCGTCTATGAAGATGATCTTGTCATAATCAGTCAGCTGCCATAGCCTAAACTTGCTATAGTTGTACTCATTGTACGAGTAATTTTGAGCTCTTGGGTTTCGGATTCTTGTAATGAGTCGGATCTTCCACCCGGCTGCCGCGAGAACGTTACGTTTGGCTTCAGAGATGGAGCTGTCTAGGAGAAGAATAAGGTCACGCTTGGTGCCCGTTTGGAGAAGGCTTTGGGCAAGGGCTATGGCACCACAGACGTAGGCTTCTGAGGAATGGAGCACCGTGGCGTAGGCCTCTCGCTTGGTACTTCTCGTGGTCCTTTGAATCCTGGAGAGATCGTAGACTTCGTTAATACCTGCAAATTAATGATGTCATATTCATGTTATTTTGTGCGTAGATGAATGCTGGTATATAAATCCCAGTTCCGTAATAAGGTGTATTTTTTTTTTGTCCTATCCCTCCCTTTCTATAATTTAAACTCGAGACATTCTAATGAAAATCTCAAATTTTAATAATTGAGCTATCTCATTAAAAAAGGTTTACAATAAAATTAATTTACCAATAAACAGAATTAAGAAATTGTAATGCATGGTCCTGGCAACCCTATACTTTAAGACAACTAAAACACAACTACCACGTCGTTATCCTAGTCACCAAACGAGAAGATTTTCTAACAATTTGTTGGTAAGTGGACTTGACACCTATCAGCTTAAAAAAGAAGGGCCCGCGGAAAGAAATAACATATGGTTTTCAGGTTTTGCTAAGGCAAAGTATTTACTTTTGTTTGCTCTTATATTTAGCCAATATATAACTTAATCGTTCTTCAGTTCTAAGTTAAATTAATTTTACTATAAAAAGCACTGAAGAGAATCCAAGCGTCTGTAGCTCAGTGGATAGAGCGTCTGTTTCCTAAGCAGAAAGTCGTAGGTTCGACCCCTACCTGACGCGTTCGGCAATCATCGACTTCTTTTTTTCTCCCAAGAAATGCATCAGTTTATTCGTTTTTTTTTTTTTTTAAAAAAGGCAGGATCCGTTATTGTGATTACAGAATTATTGACATGCATTCATACAAGCAAAGAAAAACATCAATTGATACTAAGATTGTTTTTGGAGCCATACATACCTTGTGTCCACAAAGGCAAAGCCAGTTGGCAAGACCCAATAGGCAATGAGACCTTCTGTTCCAACTTTGCCATCTCCGGCTCATAGAACCACCAATCACCTTCCTGTTTCACCAGATCATCACACCTAAACATCTCCAACATTGGCCTGCATTTGCTCCAAAGCACCACCTTGGTCCTCCAATTCCTATCCCTCCTCCCTTTTCTCGCTGCCAAATTTGCTGCTATGAGGTGAACTTGAAGCCTAAATACTTCTCTGTTCCACCCTTCTTCAGGATACTTGCATGGTAATTTTGCCACTATCAAGTCCATGCTGTCATAGACTTTGAAATCTGGCATTGGTATTTCAGGACAGGATGGAACATCACTTTCTTCCTCCTCATCAATCCATTCAGGAAATAAGTCCGGCCATTTGAAAAACTCAGACACTCTTTCAAAATGGATGGGTATGGTTTCTCCATGAGCTTTCCAGTAACTAACATCATCTTCATCCATATTTACCATGCCAATCTTCTTTCCTTTTCCCATCTCATTCACGAAGCTTGGTACCTCAACCTTGGTCATATTTTCCCTAGGTCTTTGGGCATTGACTTTTGTCTCTTCCAAGATTGCCTTCATCTTAATGCCATTTTCTGCCTACAAATTTCAAGTTTAACCAAATGGGAAATAAAAAACAACGCATGGCTTTAATCGATATTTTCAAAACTTCTATAACACAATTATGAATTTGACTAGGCTCACCTTACCTTGTGATGGCACTCTCTCAATGAGCACCTAACAAGAGATGCTGCATTCTCAAAATAGACTGAAGAAGATGGCCGGAGAAGAAGCGATGCATAGATAACAAGAAAGAAAGCAAGGAAAATCAAATTGATTTTGATAACCAAAGCTTTTGAAGGTGTAGCCTTGATTATATTTTGAAGATTAAGTCCCTCAACCATCTTTGAGAAACAATGCTGTAACTCAAAGGGGGCCTTCTTATATATATCTCAACTACCTTCTCTGGCTTTGAATATATTTATGGTTAATAAATCACCATGATTAGCAATTTTTAGGACTAAAGAATAATTTGGCTGTAGTGGTTAGAGGATTTGGAGAGCGAAATTAGAGTAAAACTCAAAGGATGCGTGGCCATTTATAGATCTCCATGTGTCAATTAGTGCTTTGGGTTTTCTTGCCTTGAGGACAAAATGGCCGGAGAAAATAAAAGCTTTACTTCTTTTGCTTGCTGTTGGCGCAAATAATTCTAGATTCCCTTGTCAAAATTCCCAATATGCCCCCTTTTCGCTACATTTCGGTTTAAAAATCAGATTGCACCACTAATTAATGTAAGTCCATTCTGTTCATCTATCTATGTCTGCAACCAATACAGATGTGGTCCTAGTTTTTGACTTCTCAACTTCATACATAAAATGACTACTGGTTTATTAACTTTCTAAGCTACGTTAATTTCCGGGTTATCTCTTGTTGAGAATACATTAAGATATCGTAAGATCATTGCGGCATTTTTTCCCCTGGAAAATTTAGTACTCCAATTTTATTTGAGAGAGATCGCTGTAACATACACAAATTACAGGTAGGGGTGGAGAAGGTAATTTCAAAATCCTTAGGCATGTAAGCTTGGGAATCTCAGAATTAGCAGGCCCTCCAACAACTCTTTCGGTTGGCCTATCAACTTCCTACACGCAATAAAACGTCGTTTTTATCTTCTGTCCGTTATCAATTTCTACTTCTTTATTTACATATTGTCGCTTTTTTAATTCCAAATCATGATAGCAGAGAACGCCTAGGTCAGATATCAGCATTCCACAGCTCATTAAAATGATTTCAGGTCATGCTTAACACGATCAAGAGTTGAGTATTGTTAAACTATCGCCATTTCGCCATGTCAACCTATATAGACAATTAGACCATCCGAAATCGTGGACCCAAAAAGATTAGGCAGATGGACTATTAATATATTGCCTCGTGATTGGAAGAAAGGGTCATCTCATTTATGATGTCCATTGTTGATCATACAGAGACAGAAAAAGAGATTTTCCTTCGGTTCTTACTTTCTAGGGTACCTTCGTCTAATCCTTGCTGCCTATGTGACTTGACAGTGCATTTTGGAAACTCAGTTAGGAGTAGCTGTACCTTACGGTAGCTCAAAAACATAGGCCAATCACTTAATCTACATTGATTTTTAAACATCCATTTTGCACGGGATTCAGATTAAAAAACAAGACCAGATTGCTCATCCGGTTCATGTAACACAACACCGATGCACTTAATATTTATTATTCCAAAAGTTGTAATGGGGGTAAATCAATTGCTTATAGGGATTTGCAACTGATATTGGTTCAAGCATTGGCGAACATAGTATCTAACGACCGAGGATTCCATGATATAATTTGATTTTTAAAATACGAACCATCGATCAAGCCAACACATGGTTATCATATAAAAAGAGTAATCAATTCTAATATTCATTATTGCCACAGTTGAGAGAGTTGTAAGGCGACTTATAAACCGCAAGATTGCAAAATCAATAAGAGGGCTGAACGTATTAACTTCTAACTTGTTAATTTAGTCAAATTAAAAAAAAAATTCAATGCTGAATTATGTAATGAAATGCATACATACTTAATCATGCTCCATTACCACACTGACAGCAAACAACTGTCTTAGGGGGAGAAAAATAAAGAAAAAGGAAAAGGAAAAAAGGAACACTTGCTGAACAACTTTCCACATCAAACATCTCTAGAAGGTACCCATCCAAGTAAAAACACATTATTCGGAAATTACCGATTCCTTGCTCATGCAAGCAATTGGTTGTGGTTGTTGAAAACCTCCAGTTCTTATAACAGATCTTTCATAACTGTTAAAAACCACCCCTACCAATGAAAATGTGGCACGAAGTCTGCTTTGTATTTTGGGCTAATGCTGAACCAGGCTCATGCAAGCTTTACTCCTACAATGCAAGAATTTCTGAAGACTCTAATAACTTTTTTTAAAAGGATAGGAAGTGATGTAAATACAGCAACCGGTAACCTTCCCACTGAAAAACATTGTCAATTTGGAAAAATTGCCCAGTCATTTGAGAGTTCTTAAAATTAAAATAAAATAGCATCAAGAGGCACCAAGATACTGCAGGCGAGCAATGAAATTCCTCTATTCGAAACATCTTGGATAATATACATTAATCAAAATGGAAGAAAGATTCATAACCATTGCCACTTCATAAAGTGATTAAAAATTAATAGTCTACTGATAATTTTCCATTATCAAAACCATCAAACTGTGCATGCAGCGCAGTAAGTTCCTCTACGTTAAGCATTCAGTCTTCAACATTTCACTCACTTCTTTTACCGAATTGAATGTTTGTTGGTCCATTCCTCCAGTTTATTCTTCCATCAAAGCAAAATGCATCCCTTCTTTGTATCTCAAGCTACTCTAGACCACATCTATGAAAACAATTTTACATGGTGAAACTTCATATCTACTTGTCTCATGCAAAAAGAAAAAGGACAATGAGGGAAAATTAAATGAATAGTTATAATTGCCAACCTGCTTCATAAAGAATCATGAACACAGAAGCTGCAAAAAATCTCTGCAGCTTGTTGATCCCTTCAAAGTCAGCCAGACAATGAATGCAATGCATCATACCTTAGTTATCTCCTGAATGTGTTGAGAATGGCTTTTACCCGGTGGAATGAAAATCAGATCTTCCCAGCCTGAATTCTTCTCACTAATCTGTATTATATCATAGAGAATAAAATTGAATTCCAATTTCTTTGTTATCAGATGCATACTTGATGCAAAGCTTAAAAGCATTACCTCCATTTTTTTCAGAACATCCTCTAAACTTCCAACCTGTTCGACCAATAAACCAAATGGTGGTGCATGCACAAAGTCAATATCGGATAAAAATAACCTTTTGGTATGAAAATAGGCTTTAGAAAATGTTATGTATACAAAAAGAAAAACCACGTGGTAAAAAATGAATCATACCATAATATGTTGAGAAAGACTGGGACCCCTTGATGCCCTTGAAACCTTTGACAGTTCTTTTTCTATATCTTCCTGCAATTCAAGAGACAGATAGCTGGTAATCCATGTACTCATAACTCAATCTTACAAAAGTTGATAATGAAAATCCTAGTTACATCCCAGGGAGTTCGATGGATCAAACATACCTTTTGAAAATATATTGGGCAGTATCTCTTGCTTTTCTTCTTCACAACCAGAAGGTCCGACTGTCGAAACAGATATCATGAGAAAACAGTGATTTGGCACAATATTCCCAAAACACACACCTAAAAAGAGATGTATCCACACATCCAAGCATTTGCAAGTTTATTCTCCTAGTTGGCCCCTCTACTTAAATCATGGGAAATGATATGCTACAACAGTGCTGCTTGGGCACCATTTGATGATTTATGTATCTCTACTTCCCAAATAAATAACAATCTGCAGTATTTGTTTGCACCAGATGACTTAAATATTTGGCATTGTTTGCATATCACTAAATGAATTACAGTTGTGTCCAAATATAGACCGTCAAATACAGATACATCAGAGGAAAGAATGATCCCACACTTATGTCAGGCAGTAACATGTACAACATGGTGTAGAAAATCAATTCATATAAGATAGTTACCCATGAAGTAACTTTTCTGACACCTCAAAAGATTCTATAATCAATGTAGAAAAAAACATTTGAGCCAATAAAACCAATCAAATACTCGCTAAAATCAAACTACTATTCCCTGAAGGAGCTCCCAACACTTCTTATCTTCCACTCATATGGCAAGACTAACTCCACAAAGCAAACGATAAGTCAAACCTAATATTGTATGCATTTGGAAACATGTGAACATATTAGCTAACCATCTAATGCATTGAAAGTCATAGGTATCTGCCAAATCGATTACCTCGACAGGCTTGTTTAGACATGCTTATAATTTCAGAGAAACAGAAATAGCATATAGGTACAACTAGTCATATAACATACCTGGAAAACAGGAACTCCATCAAACCCACTCCTGACATCAGCAGCTTTGAGCTGATAAACATGAAAGACTATAACTGAGTATTAGTCTAAAGCAGGTCAGCTTGTACAATCATATCAACATGCAGCTTTTCATGTTAAAAAAGTGTGATTGAAATTTCAAATTGCTATCCTACTAATTAAAGCTTCCCCTTCCTATAAGCTCCGAACCCACATGAAAAGTAAGCCCCATTCATACTTTCTGATTACTGAATGACAAGCAACACTTCCTCTTCTCTTTGACTTCAAAAGTCCTTAAAATTAAAAACATAAAAGGACCTAAGCACTGTAAATAAAAGTCCTACGTGGAATACACTTCTCTAGACAGGCATTATCATCCTAGGCCATCAGAACTCACAAGATGCACCAAAGGATGACAAACTTAAAAACTCACGTGAACCTAGAACTTTCAGCAATGCTCCTCTATGACACCAAAAACTGAAAGTTCATATGAAATGATTAACTCATTTTGTAGAAATAGAGATGTGCCATCAATGCTTTCATTCCGACAGAACAACATAGTCTTTGGAGCGTTACATGGCTAAAAGCCAATTTAACTGTTCCTTTTGTTATTGTTTTTTCTTCCGTGTTAACAAGCAATAATTTTAATAATTAACTCATCAGAACTGACCTCTAATGCATTCTTTATTTGAACCGGATCAGGCAAAAACCGAAATGCAATTCCTTCAACCTTCAGCAGGTATACCTACAAGATTTAGAAAGGAAAATACGAATACAGTTTCAACTAAATTATCTAAGTTAGCACTCTAAAGTAAGCCTGAACAAACTAAAAATGCTCAAGGCCGGGGGATAGTTCCGTTGATTAACTGCAGGAAGAACTTGATTTTGAATAAATTAGTCATTACAATTTTCCCCAGTTTTACAGGAGTTAAAAATTATACACGCACCAAAAACCATCCATTGAAGCTAGAAATTATTACCTGGTCAAGTGTAATAGGCACGACCTTAGCTTGGCTTCGCAATTCTCTTCTCCGCAGCCTAACCTGAATTTCAAAATCAGGGAAATCACCACCGGAACATAGACAATATACGCGTATGTACGTACGTATAACTATATACAGACACTATACCTGAGCAAGAAATGCCTCGGCGTCTTCTTGTCGAAAACAAAGCAAGCCAATGGATTTGGCTCCATTGGGATCCGAGATAAGCACGAACTCATTGTTGGAATTGCTCACTGTGAACACGGCCGTTCCTGCCAGAGCTTTCGCCACGTGGTCCAAGCTAAGATTGGCGGGGGTAACTGTCTGTTTTGGCTGCGATACAGAAGCGAACGGCGGCGATGGCCCCATAACGAGCCGCCTAGGTGGAGGGAGGCTGCCGGCTAGGAATCGAGTGGTGTCACTGAGACGAGTGGAGAATTCGGCACCGAGACGGAGGCAGTGTTGGTGCATGAAGGTTGAGAGAGATAAGAGAGGGTTTGAGGGTTTAGAGGGTTCCATTTTTTTTATTTTTTTAAAAATGAAAATAGAGCAGAGAATCGAAGTTGATTTTTGCGTCTCCTGAGAAATCGAGGAATGCTAGATCACGGGGACGTAGATCTTTCGTTGCACCGTACGAATTGGTAATTAGTTTTGGGCCTCAGCCCATCACTTAGGAGTCAAAGTTGGAAGCCTACCCCGGCCTTTTTCTACTGGCCGTGAGGGCTTGCAATGATATGGTGTCATTTGGGAGGATCAGTTTGATATCATCATGGATTTTCCCTTTCAGCCTTTCCGTAATTGAATTAATCACTCCATAATTATGCTACCAAACATTTGAACAAGAACTCTGAAATTATACAGACGGTATTAATTTAACTGGCTTGATTCCCTTTTAATGTTTAAGAGTACTTTTTTTTTATTGGGCCCAAGTACATATACATATTAAGAAGGAATTTTGGTGAATCATCACGTTTCTTAATCTAATTTTAAATAATAAATTTCTATTTTCACTTTTGTTTTATTTAGTTAGCCTATCATTTAAAAAAAAAAAAAACTACTCATGTCTCTCTAATTTCTTATAAGAAACGATAGTAGAATATTCTAGATTAAACGATATGCCCTATTAATTGAATATACAATTAACTCATTATCTGATTTTTGATCCCTCGTTGTAAAAGATGTTTGTGTTTTTCAAACAAATACAGTTTATAAAAAAAAAAAAATTATGTCAGATATTATATTTCTCACTCTCATAAAAATATGGAATTTATAAATTATTTTCATAATAAATTTTATATTTATGTGAAAGAAACGAAACACAACTTCAACCTCTATGGTAACTAATAACTTCATTATTTTCTTAAATTCGGTGGGATTAATGAAAGAAAAGCTGAAAGTGAATTTCTTTTTTATATTCAGTTTAGGACGGAATAAAGAATGATCTGACAGCTTTTAGCTTGCAAGTTGAAATCCAGCCATCAAATCAAGCAAAATATTCACAATTTTATATAGAGTTCTCAAGGGATATATTACTAATTACTAATAAAACTAAAAGATATGGGAGTTTATTATTCCTTTACTGTTTACTTACACTTAATCTCACCGTGGATAAAGACCCATTTCTACTGTTTTTACGCCTTGTAGATTCTAAAGGGCTAAAGGCCCGTTCTTAAAGAAGAAATAAAGTTCTAAAAACATTTTATTTAGTTTGCGTGACCGTCCAAGAACCTTGTCGGAGTGCAAGAATATGATTAATATTTACTTCTGCTTTGAATCTTCCAACCATGTTGTTTCAGGTGGTCATGTCTCACTTATATTTATTTGGTTTACAAAAATATTGACTATCATTCCTAATATTCTCTCTGACTTGTTGGTGATGCAAATAACCATATCTTCATTGACTCTTTTTTTACTCAAATTGACAACTATAATAGTTGATAAAAATCATGAATTTTCCCCTCAATTATTTCTCCCCCTCCTCTCTGTCTCCCAGGACAGCCATCACAGAAGCCAGCAAAATATTTATGGTTTGACCTCCTCCTCTTATCCCATGTGTTCCCGTGTTTTTATTCAATTACATAAACACAATCTTTTTATGGCTAAATAATGGAGGGTCAAGCAAACAATGAAAATTGTAGAAGCTGGAAGAAGCACGTTACATTATTTGAATTAAGATGCTATCTAATTTAGCTGTTGGCATATTATTTAAAGTGCTCAACTTATACCTTGCAGCTCATAAAATATCCGAACTCATTTAAAGTTTAATTTTAAAAAATTCACAACTCTGGCGAATTATTCTTTGATTACTCTCACCTATTCTTAATGAATGTAAAATCATCAGTTGAGATTTCTTCCTCCCCTACTATGATCAATTTTGTGATTTCTATAATAAAATCTCAAATTAAAATCAAACACAAATTTGAAATCATTTACATATTCTCCCAACATGTTGAAAATTTATCCCATTAATAGATGAATCACCAACAATCAAATCAGAAAAGTATAAAAGTTCAATTACGTGAAAATTCATTCGTAGCTTGGGCATGTATAATAAATAGTATATACAGCTTAATCTTCAAATCTAGAACGAACTACGATCGAGTGAACAAAGTTCATATGTGTCAAGAAGCGTGACTGAAAAAAAAGCCATGGATCAGAACGGCAATGGAGGATTTGGTGGCGGTTGGCATGGTGTTGATGAAAGACAACGATGGTAAAATGACAGTATTAGTTTAGAACTGAGCCAGAAATATTTTGCTAGGTTGGATTGTGGTAGTTTTCATGGTGAGGGTTCTACAAGAGAGAAATGAATTGGAGAGAGAGGGAATGAGAGGAAAAAATCATGATTTTTATCCAGGGTTATAGTTATCAATTTGAGTAAAATAAAATTAACGATAACGTGATTATAATATGAAAAGAGTGCATGCGACTTGTGAATCCTTAACTAACTATTTAAATTGAAAAAAAAATGGACGGTATATTATTAAAGTTCACTATATAAATTACGCTACTTGATAAAATAAATTATATTAATTACACAATTAGTTTATAAATTATATTTTAAAATTTATACATTTTTATGGCACGGATGTATCGATTTTTTTGTTAAGTCACATTTTCTAACAAGAAAATAAATTGATTTAGATTTCAAATTCGCAATGTTCTAATTACACAGTTAAAAATTAATAAATTAATCAATGTTATCAATGTGATGAATTTTATATTACTCATAAAGTAATTAGTATAAATTACTCAATAAGAGAGAAATAGACACAAAAAAAAAAAGAGAAATAAGAATGAGAGAATTAAAAAAAAAATGAAATCTTTTTATTATTTTTTAAAGATTCAGACGTAATTTTTTTTATTTTTTATCTTTCTCTTTAAAAGTAAAATCATATAGTTATTATTGTATATATACTACGGCTATATTGAGTATTTTAAAATTTCTAATGTCCTACCATCTTAAACCAAATAAAATTTTAAATCAAGTAAAAGTTTTTTTTTTTTTTAAAGTAAAACGTTTATTGAAAAAAAGAAGAAGGTTTTAATTTGATCCCGCTCAAGTTTGTGCCAATTCTTGAAAGTAAAAATAAACTTAGACCTGAACGAAATCCATCTTAGTTCCAATCACGCGCATCAGTGTCTTTGGATTAATCAGTGCCTTTGGATTATGTGGATCTGGATGGAAAGTTTGGATATGGATTTGAATGGAAGGTTTTGTGGATTGGGTATGGATGTGGAGTGGTATTTGAACTCACAATGGGATCTGTTGAGTTTAGAACAAGGACCTGCATAGTTTGTGAGCATGGTCGAAGGTGTACGACATCGGTTAGCCTGGGTATGTTTCACGTGCTTGTTTTCTATCTATTCGCAACTCTATGAGTACGTATGTATGCTTGCTTGGTACGTTTCATTTGGAATCTTGTATATGTACAGAAATCAAACAGCAGCTCTTCAAGAGTTGTATTTAAAGCATTTGAACCAGTGAATTGCAATGTTGCATGTGGGTTCAACAAACGTCTCAAGATGTGTTTCCTTATGGTGGTGAAGTCTTGTATTTAAGTTAAAGCTCATGACTGAAGATTGTTTATCAAGAAATGCTTAGTTTATATTAATTTGAAACTATATATTGATATGCCATGTATTGATGAAACAAAATTTATATGTGAAATAGTAGATCCAAGAATAGCTTTCCATTTAAAAGTTGTAGAACAAAATAAGATATTGGATCTGGTTGCATTCTTTTTGCCATCTGGTTTAGATGGTTCCTCCTGGGAATGTCAAAGATAGATGAACCAACGTAATTAATTAAGAGTGGTGGATTTGGCATGCATGCCACATACGGCTATGATAATTAATTGGGCTGTTATCGTTATATTATTTTGGTTGCAGCTCATAGACCTTTGTTGTGCTTGTTGCATTGCTTATCAACGAAGTCCTTGCATTTTGACATGTGATAATTTTTTTGCCTGATGTGATAATTTTTTTTGGAAGAGAAAAAGGAAGGATTGATGTTTTCTTCTTCTTATTTTTTTTTTCATTTTCAGCTATTTATTTTATTTTTTTATTTATTGGTTATTTTTTTAAATAGCAAATCAATATTATATGTTATGACATGGGATAATTTTTTAGCCAAATGTTACTTTTGATTAAAAAATTAGTCGGCAAACCATCGGATGGACCACGTTAAAAAAGTTTAAATAGAGTAGAAAAAAGTGACAAAAAATAGAAGAGTCAAATTAAAAAATATATAAAAAATAAAAAAGATGTTTCATGTTATTAATCCTTTTATGCATAGGTTTGAGGTTTACACTTTATTTTATGGTTTTATGATTCATAAATAGGGATGTAATTTATTTCTTAAATTTAGATTTTATTTTTTAAAAAAAAATTGATTTAAAAAATTATCAAATTAGATATCTGGTGAGTATCCAATCAGATTTGAATCAGAATAAAAAACGGATAATAGATTTAAATATTTTGAATCAGATATAGCAATCAGCTCTAACTTGATTCATTGTCATCCATAACTCTAACATATCACAAAAGGAGTAAAAAAGCAGCAACAGTTAGATTCAATGACACATACTTTTTCGTAAATTTCGATCATTAATAGAGTTCTACTTTTGGTCATTTCGTAAAATCCTGGTGTTAGGGGAATCATTTGTCTGTCCTGGTATTTGTTCGCTCACAAGTCACAAGTAAGCTTCAACCTTTTCCGTCCATTCAAAGGTTCGGTCTTTTGTTGGTCAATTTTTTTATTTTATTTTACGATATCAATTCCTTTAGAATCGAGTAAATTATACATAAGTTTCTTTAGTTTTGTAAAACAAATTACATGGTAACTCTAGTTTTAAAAACTAAGCAATTAGTCCCTTTCATATATTTTATGTCCTTTTTCAAATTATTTGTTTATTGTTTTTTTTTAAAAAAATAAATAGATATGATGAAAAGATCGATGAGAAAAAAATATTTTTGAAATAAATTCTTACAAAACTAAGCAAGGTCAACATTAATAAAGAGATATCCATCCATGATCAGTTACAATTTCATAAAAAGTTAAGAACACTTTTCCATACAACTGGGGTGGCTTTCCTATTTTTGTTTCTCTGAATTCATTGTTGTAGTTTTACTCTATCCTCTGCCTTTTAGTTTTTTATATATCTGTTAGCAGATATTTTCAGAATTTCATAATAAATATTTTTAAAAAATTTAAAAACTACAAAACAATCATTACATAATTAAAGAGAATAATGCATATAAATATGTGTGAATAGTGTATATGAGTATAGATAAATAATATTTGAAACAGTAATAATAAATAATAAATTAATATTTTGATTTAGTTTTTTTGTTAATATATCTGTTATGAGATATTTTTAGGATTTCAATTTGGCTGAAACTATTGGACTATATCCCTTTTTTTTGTTTCTTTTTTTTTCCTGTTTTGATTGAAATGATGGAGTCCTTGTTTGGTACTTTAGTTTTTTAGAAGGTTACATTTTTTTTTCTTTTGATATTTAATTTATGGGATTTGGATACATAACATTTTTTTAGTATGTGGATTTAATATTGGGTATTAAATGGTAAAATATTAATTAATAGGATACCGAACACTTTTCAAGGCCTTTACAGTCCCCTTCCATTTTTTTATATGAATGGGATCATATAGTATTAATTGAAAGGCTTGTAAATGTTAAAAGATCTATCAAGGAAAAAAAAATTGAAGTGCTAAAAATAGTGCTTAGTATAAAAACTGACATAAAAGTATATTCCGTTCTGATCTGCGCACTGAAATTATTTAGATTTTTATAATGCACAGGAATCTTAAGTAACCACAAGGATACTTTTTGAAACCTTTTACGTGTCAATTAATTACTGATTCTTATCCAAGAAAAATGTCTATTAGTCACTATTTCTTTTCTCTTGCGATTTTTATCCTAAAATGATCTATTTAAAAAAAATATATATGCTTTTCTATTTGATACAAATTGGATTTTTCCCTACAAGAATGATCTCTCAAGTTATTATTTAAAAATATGTTTTTTTCCTTATTTCCAACCCTCCAAAATTCCAGTTAAATCCCAATTTTTAAAACCTTGATTGTTGTGTTTTTCGTAATTTGAAATAAAACGCATCCCTGATATATATTTCACAACTATATGCGAAATGAATACCCGTGTTTTTTTTTCTTTTTTAAAAGCTTTTGTGAAAGGTGGTTTTCTTATCCTTGAGCAAGCCCTGCATGTGGTGGTGACAGGAGAAAAGGTTTTTTCGGTTTTGGTCTTCTGCCACTGTTTCAAGTTTTGTATTAGATTTCAGAATCCTTCGACTGTCGCTTTAGGTTCAGTCAGTTGCCAGCTACACTGCAATCAGAAAATACAAAATAACTAACGTCTATGAAATATATGGACGAAAGAATCTAATTCATTAAAAAAAAATTATTTGTCCATAGAAACGTCCTTTTTTTTTCCTCAATTTTTTCATAAAATGGATGAAAGAAACTAATTAATTAGTTTTTAAAATTAAAAGAATTATTTAATTCATTTTGTAAATTTAGATGAGTTAATTTATGATTTATTCTTTTTGTTGATTCTCAGTTTCGGACAGGAACCAAGAAGGACCTGACAGAAGACTGCTTAATTTTAGTTTTCAAGTTGAAGCTCAGTCAACAAATCATGCAAAATCTTCACAGATTTATGCTAGAGATTGGGAGGCATATGTAGATTCTAAAAGGCCGGTTCAAAAGGAAAGAAAAAGAAGTTCAAAGAACAATTATTTTTTTCCCGCATGACTGTCCAATAACCTTGTCGGAGTGCAAGACTATATGAGATTAATTTTACTTTGGCTTTGAATCTTTCATCCATGTTTTTTCAGGTGGCCATGTCTCACTGATATATATTTGTTTATAAGAATATCAATTATTAGGCCTAAATATTCTCTAGGTCAAATGACCTCCCAGACTTAGCAGTGATGGTGATCAATCCGAACCCCTTTATTCTGCTGCCGTGCCATATGTTTATCTGAGGACCTGTCCACCTCAGGCATCTTCAACTGGTCCTTGATGTCGATGGCCGAAATGTTGTTGCCTAGTTGTTCTCTCTTTGTGCTCGATTACAACAATTGCGCTCGAATGAAGAAATAAATTATAGTAATATTCAACCAACGAATCTCCATTTTAAACTAATTAGTTCTGTATCTTCTATTATGCACTTTTTTTTTCCTTTTTATAACCAAACAGTCACCCATTTTTTAGCGAATCTCTTCCATGGACTTGTTAGTGTACCCGTATCTCTTAGGGATGTAGCAGTAATGGACCTGGAAAAGGAAAAACAAAAAAAAAAAAAAGGGAATGCAAGGATAAGTTAATTTGGTTGATACTCGGCCCTCACAGCTTACTGTTGGTATCGGGTTCGGTAAAGTTTCGGTCACAGCCTAAAAAATCGAGATAAGTATGAACGTTAAATTACCTTTAGAGAGGCTTTCTATATAAACCCTTGGCTACATCTAATACTTACAACAAATACCGATCGTGCAGTTTCTTGTTTTAACACCACCCATATCCTCAAACATCAACTGAATTATTAATTATGTTTCCCTCGACGCATCACCACAAAAATGTTGACAAAAATTGTACTAAGCCTGTTCCTTTAGCATCTCGTCCCAGTGAAGAGGAACTGATTAAGATCTTCAATCGTTACGACACCAATAGAGATGGTTACCTCAGCTGGGAGGAGCTTAAAAGTGCTTACAACATCCTAGGTATGTCTTTCCCCAGTCTTAGAGCTTGGAGGGCACTCTATGTTGCCGATGAAAATGGAGATGGATACATCAGTCAGGAAGAGTTTAAAAAACTAGTGAGGAAAACGTCTTCTAAATGAGGTTATATATTGACTTATTGTACAACTAAATAGTCTTCACTGTTTGTATTACAAAGAAGTTCTACGAAAAACACAGAGAAGGCCATCTATAGCCATCTGTTTTATTTTTCTCATGGCATATATTTAGTACATGTGGCTACCAGCTAGCTAGCTAGTTTTGGGTTCTTGCGTGCTATAGCTCTTCCGAAAAAAGTTACGTATTGGGCTGTGTCTTTTGTAATATGCAACTATATATATGGAGGGGATGGTCCTTGGCATATATAATTTTGTAAAAATTAAGCTGCAAAGCTTGGATATGTAGATTCATCTCGTACGTTATTAGTCTAATGTTGACTATCCGTGCTCCCACTCCCTAATTTTGTTTTTATACTGATTTTGAAGATGTTATTTTTATCAATTATTCTCTATGTTTGACCTATATATTATTTTGCGGTTGGATTTGTCTAAATTATCCTAAATTACCTTTGCATTAATAATTTGTTCGATAATATCATGTATTTGTAAAATTGATTTAATTGGCCGGGACCAATAGTTAATTGTCATTCAATTGCTGCATTAATTAGGTATGATGAGGACAACCGATCCGATGATAATTAGCAATCAGTCCAAATTAAGTTAATTTTACAAATACCAAATTAATAACATCGGATAAATTTTAAATAATTGAATCACACGCATTAACAAAATGATAGATTAAACCATTTTCTGCAGGGAAAAGAAAAGGAAAAAAAAAAAAATTCTCAACCTAACCAAAGAGATTCATGCACCTAGTTGCATGGGGTGTTGCATAGGATCCCAACTTTTTAAGTTGGAGAAGGGAGGGAGCTAAAAACCAAGTGCATTTTGATTTTTAAAAAATCTATATAAGTTCATATTATTAGGGTAGCATGACGTGTATTTATTATATAATTAAAAAAAACGTAAAAAGTATATTTAGATTTTCTATCCTCGCTTTTAGGCGATGCTTTCTTGGAGTTATGCTCAACTTGCAGGAAAATAGTCTTTTGGATTAGATGTGTTCGCATTTTAAGTAATTTTTTGAGTGTAAAATCTATAAAAAATTCTATTTGAGTGTTTAAGTTTTGATTTTTTATTTTATTTGAATACCTATAATTACCTAAGATTAAAAAATACTAATGTATCCAAGCATAAACTAACACGTAACAAAAAATAGATTCTACTTAGATTGTATTTAAAAAAAATACAATTTGAGTATCTAACTTTTGATTAATTTTCTATTTAAGTGCCCATTGTTTGGTATTTTTTGGTATTTGAATTCCTTTAATCACCTAAAACTGAAAAATATTGACTTGACTAGGATTTATTAATATGCGGCAAATCTTTAACTCACATGTGGCTAAAAGTGAGTTCCGCTCAAATTTATTAAAAAAAATAAATAAAAAGTTATAAAACTATTGTAAAAGAAAATAGTTGGTAAGAATAAAAAATAAATTAAAATTAACTACTGATAGCTAAATAAACTCAAATTGTTTGGGTAATTTAAAGTTAAAACTCTTGAATTAAACAAATAAAATATTTAGATGATGATATATTGAAAGTGTTTTAAAAAATTTATCGGCAAACTTGTTGAGTTTATTCGACTATACTAATTGATTTTGATTTTTTTTTAATTATTGCCAACTATTTATTCTATATAAGTTTTATATTTTTTCCTCATTAAATTTGAATAAGATGATCCTCTTTTTATCACGTGTCGGTTAAAGACTATCGTGTGTCGGTGAATCTCGTCATGTTAGTATTTTTCAATTTCAAGCGATTGAAAAAACTAAAAAAAAAATCAAGTGTTGGGCATTCAAATAGAAAAATGATAAAAAAATTAGGTATTCATATTGTAGTTTTCTATATAAAAAGGTATTTTTTTCTAAATAATTCAAGTATGATATATTTTTTTATCGCATGTCAATTAAAAACTACTGCATAAAAAAATCTAACGACTCTAAAGATGACTTATGTGGATAATGACTGTACTCCTGCAAAATAGAGAGGTTACTGATTTTTCAAAAACTCTATGATGGTTAAGTCAGAATTAAATATGAAGAGAAGGCTCTTTGAGAGATTTTAGAGTTTTTTAGGTGTTTTTCATAAAGACAATGCAGACAATGATATCCTTCTCACTGATAAATCAAAATATAATTATATCTTAGAATCTAGCGAGAGAGTTATATTTAAGTGGGGAAAAAACATCTTTTAAGCAGTTTCCACAATTTGCTCGAGTAGGCATCATGTGTGGCTCACAGACGACCTTTGTGGTTGTGGTCTTGTCATATGTTAGTTACATATGTTTACAGCAATGATGGTTGTATATATATATGCAAGGATATATACGGTAGATGGAAGGATACGGATATATAGTACACGTCCGTTTCTTACATGCTTCTTAGGGATGGTAATATATATATATATATATATATGGGGAATTCTAATTCAATTAGGAATAAAAAGGTTAAATTGCTTGTATATAAAATGGATCAATAACCCATTGATCTAGGCTTTTGAATTTAAGTGGTGTGCATCATTGTATGTAAGTTCTACATTCTCATGTGTAGATCTAAATAACTTCCCAAATGTAGATCTTTTGAGCAATTGATAATGGAGTCGATAGTTTTGCTTGAAATGAGTGACGATTGTAATTAGACTCACGTAACTTTACTAGTTTGTTTATATTTAAGCAAAATAGCTAAACTTTAAGTTTTGAATATTACACTTAGATTGTTAAATATAGAGAGGAAGTAGTATTGGACATAAAAGAAAGACTTACATGTGAACGAGTGATTTGTTGAGTTTCACATATGAGTGAAAAATCCAATATCAATTAGAAACAGGAAGGTTGAAGTGCTTCTATATAAAATAAATTTATAACTAATTAATCTAAATTTTTAAATTAAAATAGTATCCATCTTTGTGGTAAGTCCTTATACGTATATGGCCAAATGACTTTCTAAATGCAGATTTCTCTTACACAATAGAAGGCCATAGAAGTGGACGAAAAAAACCTCCTAATGTTTACATTTGTGCTACAGTGGGGGCGGACCACAACTCAAGGTCCATGCACATAAAACACACACACATATATAAAATCAAAACACAAAAATTATTTTAGACATATATTAAAAAAATTATAAATTATTTATATGTATAAATTCATCAAATACAAAGATTTTTCGAATTGAAGGGTATTCTATTCGCTTCCATACCCAAACGAGTTGGATAATGTTTACCCGTCTTCATATCTTTAAAAAAAAAAAAAAAAAAAAAAAAAAAAAAAAAAAACCAACCTCCACACCCACCTCTTCGAGTGAATGAAAACGAATACAATTGACATCCCTAACGCTATCGCTATAGGTGACCTTCTCCCAGTTGGCTATCCATTTCTTATGAAGCGCGAATGTGAGTGGGGTGAAGGGGGATAGTTGATCCCATCTGTCACCAACTATAACAGATGACATCCGCCTTGTGACATCTTCCGGCTTATACCTTCATTCATAGGTGGGCTTCGATATCATCCACGTTGAACTCCAGCATCAGCATCAAGAATTGAACACTCTGGCATCGGGTATCATCAGATGGGATACTTGCTACTAAGCTAGCCGTGCTTATCCTTGAATAGAGTTTCAAGCTGTAAGTGGTATTTTATGCTTAATTGATTGGAGTTGCTTTTGCTTTGATTCGAATTTAATGCACTCAATAAATGGATGGATTCGGTCGATTCGAGGAAAGATAGCTCCTTGCCTTAAAAAAGGGGGAAAAGAAGAATCTTATCATGTTGCATTCAAAGGTAATACCACAACTATAAATGGCAGTTATTTTCCGTTAAAGAATCAAATTCTTTTTATATGCTGATTTGATTGAATGCTGGATTTTTTTTTTTTCATCCTTCTTTCGGAGTAGCAATCACTAAGTAGTAAACCCAGTTGAAATCTAAATTTTGAACCAGTATCTGATAAATAGTTCAAAGTTAAACCAAAAACGAGCTTTGAAATTTTAATCATACGATCTGGAACTTGGAAGAATCACAATTTCCAACTTTTGCTGATTAAGTACTTCAAATTTTTAGTACCAAGAGAAAACATGGCAATCTTGTCCCTTGTGGAAAATCAGTTGTCCTCACATCCAAGCAAATGAAATAATCACCTCTCAAAATAATCTCACATAAACCCAATATCATTTTTATGACTATCTACTCGAGTGAGTTCCTGTGATTAGTTTGGTTCACTTCAACCTAACACAAGTGGAATCAAATGATCACACCACGTGAACATGCAAACATCCGCTTTTATGATTTTATCGGATTTGGAGCTTTCCATTGTTCTCAAGACCTGCGTCACTGCATGTCTTTTGTCTTTGGACTTTCGGGCCATCTTTTTACCAAAAGTAAAATTTCAATACTGAAGTTTTGGTTTCCATTCTTCTATAAGAAAAAAAAAAAGGACAGAGAAGAAATTTTCTAGTTGTAATGGTTCCTTGGAATGGTGTATTGGAGATGATCTTCCAAATTAGAACATCCTCCTCTCACAGAGCGAAAAGACTTGGGCCCAAGAGTAAATTAAATTCTTAGGAGGCCCAGCAGAACTCAGATGTCCAATACAGAGGCCTGGAGGAGAAAAAATTAGTCTGGGAAGTGAAGAAGGCCTAAAAGAATAAAAATTAAAGCACAGTCCAACGGTCCTTATTCACTTCTTATCGAAGACTATTGATTGACAAGTGATCACTTTAGTATCTACAGCGGAAGACCAATCCATTAATAAAATCTATATATTATTTTTGTTTGACACTTTCCACATTTCTATGTTTGAAGTTTTTTTTTTTTTTGAACAATTTTATGGTGAAATATCGTTATCAAGTTTTGATAGCAAGCTTGGAATCACTGCAACCTCTTTGTAGGCAATTGATCAATTAAGTGCATTATTTCTGTTGAAAAAGTAAAAAATTTCATCTCCCGGATTTCTTGAGTGGAGGTTGAGATTTGGTACTTTACCTTTTGTGAGTACGTATGAAGCAAGTAAACAAACTTTGCCTCAGTATTCTGTTTTAAAAAATATTGTTGGATTTTTATTTGGAGGGTCACTATGTTTGAGGAAGCACTTCTCTTTTCTTCAAAGGATATGACAGTGGCCTTCGATAGCATCATGTTGAAAGTTTGCTTTGGTCTAAATTCTTCGGTTGTAGTTCATAGAATTAGTTTTGGAGAGTACTATCCTCACGAGCAAACCCCATAAATTGTTGACGAGGGCAGGAAAACATTGTCTGATTATTACAAATATTAATTTAAGTTCCAACGGGAAAGCAAAGGCAAAGGACACAGGTCAAATCAGTAGACCAAAAAAGAAGAAAAAAAACGGAAAATCAACCGTTAATTCATTGTGATAATATATTAGTCTAAAAAAAATTGTTTTTTTTTTTTTAAATTTATATCTGTACTAAAATATTTGTTTCGTGAAAATTTTAAATAATATACTTTCTTCAAACACCCTTAATTGATAAAGAGAATCCATTGTTTTTTATCTTCTTCACTAACAAAAAATTAATACTTTTTTTTTTTTTTACATACAAATGCCTTTAACAATAAAATTTCAAAAAAAAAATTTTTGTTGCATGAAAAATATTTATTTTTATAGAAACTTTACTGCATGCCAAAAATTTGAAAGCAAAATATTTTTATTAGTATGGTACTTTCATAATTATTTTAAAATTAACTTAATATATTTTTTTATTTACCATTTTAATTTTAGATAGATTTTCTTCATAAATTAATATTGATTCCATGTATCTAAAATTAAATTCAATAACTAATAATTTTAACAAAAAAAAAAAGCATTTTAGGAAAATATGAACAAAAATTGCTAATAATTGTGTGAAAAATCAAATGAGATTATCTTTTTGAGAAGAGAGAGTAGTATTACTTTTGGGATTGGTATCATAGTCTCTGTCGCACACTGATCTTAGCTCTTGCGTGACCATGAGATATCTGAAACTGCTCTGTTAAACCAAAATGTGCCATCAGGAGCCAGACGCGACGGCGAAGTTCTCCACCAGCTTGTCTCAATTGCTGTGCATGATAATTTCCATTACAACGGCTGCCAGCATAAGCTAGCATTTCCACCCAAACATTGCTAACTAGCTTCCATTTTTCCTCTCTGTTTGATATATCTTGCAACTGTGACGCCAGCCTGCATGCGTCGAGTACGAGATATTTGCTTCTGTCACCTTTTAGTTTGACTGGTGGGACTGTAGTGTTCACATTGAGCAACACCTTGCATGCCTTGGTTTCATTTGGCTTAGACTTCCCTTTGCTGAAAGGATTGATTGCCAAAAGCCAAGAATTCTGAGGCCTGTGATTCGAAGTTTGGATATCACCTAACATGGACTCGCGCTCTCCAAAAACGTTTATGACTTCTTTGCAAGTATCTAGATATCGGATCTGATCTTTCCAATCCCCATTGGCAATATGAAAGGACGCATGACCAGGAGATACAGCATATAGTGCGATAGTTGCTTGCTTATTTTACAGTTATATTCTTTTTTGGGCTTCATCAGGGTCAGATTGGTCGCAGAGATTTGTAGCAATGTGCCAGATGAGGACGCTTTGGTCGAACTGTACTGCTACACTCCCAACTTAAATAATCTAAAAAATCCTGAATTTTGAAGCACATGATCCCCTCGGTAGATGCACAATGATTTACGCTCACTCTCATAACTGGTGGATTCAGACTCTGCCTCCCGCTTGATATGCTCATGTACTGAAATTTGTCGAGATGGGTGAATGCTAACCCGTTCAACTCATCAGAGACTTCATCGATGGTCCTCGGTTTACTTTTGAGGCAAAAGCTCAGCAAACTGGGTCGTGCTAAGGAATTTGACCACCGTATATGTTTAGGAAGCTGGAAAGGAGCGAGGGCCTTTCCGATAGTTGAATGCTTGGTCAGATAAAGATCTGTCCAATCTGATGAGAACAGTAAAAGTACTGCATAGAGATCAAGGAAAATAGCTACAACTAGAAATAAGAAAGTTATAGCTAAATCAACCTTCTTCGAATGATTCTTCTCATGGGAAATAGAATAGACTATCAACACTGCGAAAGTGCTGCTCAGACAGATGAAACGGAGATAGCAGCCCACGTGGGCATAAATTATTTCTCCTTTGGTGTAAAGCACATCAAACATGAATCCAAGTTCAATCTCAATCACTTTCAAAGCATTTTCTAAGGACATGTTTTTGAACAAATTTTGGCTGTTGTTTCGATCTTGGAAACCAAGGATGAGGTCAACAAAAAGACGCTTGAAAGTTGTGAACAAGTAATGGGCTTGAAGCAATTCAGTAGCATAACAAATGGAGGCACTTCCCATGGGAGAAACATCCATCTTTACCTGTGCTTCTATTACTTCATCTGCTGTAACATGGAATCCCTCATACTGCTTCAAAGTGAATTCTTCCATGAACTTGGAATAATTTTGGCCAGCATCAGGAGTAATCATGGAGTCTCGTAGTTGCTCATTGCTTGCTGATCAAAGAGCCAATGTCCTCTACCCATCTTTGATTATTCCTGCCAAAAACATTGGCATGTTAAGAATGGAGAGATGATAACCTCTCCAGGCCATAAAGAAAATGTAGACTGCAACTCAAGTTTGGACTGCTAATCCAAGAAAGTGCCTCAACCACAGCTGATTGTCTTCCAAAAAGCATACGCAGAAATGGTGTCAGGGCCACCTAAATGCAACACATTCAGAACTCGACGTCTTCCCATGTCTTTAGTGGCCTCTCCGAGCTTGTTTAAGAGAACCCCAGGTGCAACAGTTGCTACCCAATCAGCCATCAAGTAGGCGCACCATAAAAGGAACCAAATCCTAGTTCGGCTTGTAGCCTTCCTCCGATTGCCAAAAAAGATCAGTGCTATCTGCAAAACAAGGCTAAGTAGAACCAAGATGCTTAGTTCCCACTCCTTCCACAATTTCTTCAATTCTGAAGGAACTAGCTCCATGTTTCTCCTCCCCTTGATGTAAATCAAGCTGCTAACAACTGAAATACAGATAACAAAAAAGGAATGACGATGAGAATGTGCTTGAAGTAAGATTGATTCAACTAAACCAGGCCCTAGTAGGAAGGTACAAAATGAGTGCGGGCAACTAAAAAACAGAAAATTACTCACATGAACTGGGCAATTCCTTTTGAGTTCCCAAAATTTTTCATACAACCGAAATTAACTTGAAGAAAAGAAACAGAGAGGTGGTTGATTAATTACGTACCTGCAGGGATCATAGATGACTGCAACTTTCAAGATCAGAGAATGGAAAATCTTGTTCCAAGCTAGTAGTAAAGGAGCTATGACTAGAATGTTTTTTTGGTAATCAACTAAGCACTTATTTGTTATTCACTATTCAACTACATCTCTCACAAGTCAAGATGGATACTTCCTAAGAGTACATGGATAAATTGATTTACACGAAAAGAATATAGACAAGAGACCATGCCTTCAGTTTTTGTATCCATTACTGCAAAATGAACTAGCAACTTGAATTCAGGCGGTTCAAATGCTCCTGGTTGCTTAAGTAAATAAGCTTATTTGAAGGCAAATTCGAATTTGGATACATATGAAAGTCTTTTTATCAATTTGAAAAGTTAAAAAACGTAAAACATATCCTTCGCATAGATATTTCTGCAAAATGAAGCAATGTTTAACATAAATGCTTTTATCAGATTGAGTTCCTGGTATTCTTTACAGGGATAAAAAAACAAAAATTTAGAGAGAGAGGGAGTTAGAGATTGAAACACTCAATCAGGACTTGAAAAATAAGTTTTGCACTTGAAACCTGGAATCTAGTTTGACGAAGTCCTGTCTCCTCGGGCAAAAGAAAATGAAGGAAAAGGAAAAACATGGAGCCCCACATGACAACTGCAAAGGCATGTTTCATCATCTTGAGCAGACTCAGGTGCAGCGTAACCAACCTGGATTCATTAGAATTCTTAGATGTATCGTCACATCTTTCTGTTAGTTAATTTCATTATATGTATACTCAAAGCACTAGCTTGCTAGCAGTAAAACACAGGACATGAAAACGACCTTTCCCGACATGCAGGTACCTTTTAAGAACATTGTTTACCTTAAGCAACATCTAATGGTGTTATAAACGAGAAAATGTAACGATAGCATATCTATCCCAACTTGTCTTATAATTCAGGTTATTGTAAATCGTTTGTATGGGAGAGTTAGAAGATTGAGTTTACTTGTGAAAGGAGAATTCTATATAGATCAGGAATGAAAAGTCTAAGATACCTATATACAGAAATAAACTCATAAGCTAAGATTTAAAAATTTTGGATCGAAGACACTGTTTATCAATACATGTAAACCGTCGCAGGCAGATTCACTATCTCTCCGAAAAAAAAATTTTAGTATACACTAGGAAGCAATCACTTGAAAGAGATAAAAAGGCAGAAACATGTTTTTTTTTTTTCTAACAATCAATGAATAAAAGTACATCAGAGGAAGAGCAATAAACAAGTACATAACAGTACTAAAACAGCGCTAGTTAACAAGTAAAGACATTTTATTGTTCTCAACAGCAAGTCACAGAATTACTATTTTTATTCCACATAGATAGATGTCATGTTTGGTCTTCACTTTGATCCGTTGAGTTATAGAATTTCAGTTTTTTCTCATGCTGATGAGCTGAATTCCATACCAGCTACAGACCAAGAAAGCTAATATGAGGCAATAACAACATCAAATCGACTATCATTAATCCAGGTCCATTAAAGCATTCCAGCTATGCATTTCTGGCCTTTTCGGGCTCCATTGAGATTTAGAACATATCACATTAATACCGCCTTGAGACGAATCAAAATTACCAACAAGAAATACATTTTGAGAACTTAAGATTGGTTTTGGAGAATGTTAGATTGAATGAAGAAATTACTATGTTAAGAAGGGAGAAAGAAGAATTATTGATTGAATTGGAGATAGTGAGAATTAAAAACAATGCTTACAATGAACAAAAATAGAAGGAGAAAGAAGTTCTACTCTTGGAGATTGAAAATTTGAAATTGAGTTGTGGGGATTCAATATTGTTTAAAATCTAGAATAAGTAGAGTTCTCAAGTTATTTTGTACAATGATTGTCATTGTGATTGTAAAATTTTGGGTTTGATTATATGGAATGGACAACAATTCTTTACTTTGTGATTGTAGTCTAAAAATATAATTTGCAGATGCATATTATATGAAAATCCCACATTTTGATATGAAGCCTCACAACATTCTTTTTGTGTTGTTGTTGGAAATGGCTGGCAAAAGTTTCTAAAATAGAAAGCACTCTTGTTCTATCATCTTCTCAAAAACATTGGAATTGTCTCAAAAACATTGGACTTGTCTCATATAAAGCCGATGTTTATAGCTTTAGCTTTGGAATGTTGTCTGTTGGAAAATGGCAGGCAAAAGGAAGAATCATCCATGTATGATGATTCTACTGAATCTATAAGTTTGGTTGAAGTGGATACCAAGTGATATGATATAAAGAATGCTATGCTCATATATAGGAAAAAATGATAGAACAAGAGTGCTTTCCGTTTTAGTTATTTGTTGAGAAACATTACCATAAATGGTAACAATTCTTTTTGAAGTATTATAAGAAATTATATAATAAAAAATTACATATTATATTCTAGAACATCATAAGTTGAAAAATTACATATTCTTAAATGTCAAACATTCTTTATCAACTCATGACAGATTACATGTTCTTTAGCAACATCCAACAATTTAATAACAGTAAGCTAATATTAGATATTCTTTTTCCCAAAACTTGCTTTTGTGACTCTCTTTCCTTGGGAGTTTGATCTAGTCACCATCCTCCTTTTTTCAAAACTTCCGAAACCTTTTCCTTGTTGTTCTACCCTATTCCATCAGCATTATTCTTTTTCTTATTTTGACTTTGTATATCCTTCTCCTCTTCTCGCTTGCCCTTGTTATTCATAGGTCCATCATTTTTTTCCTTTTCACGGATGCGACTCTAATCTTCTACTTTTCCTTCCTCTAAAACCCAAAAACCAATTGATTCTACCATAGTAGAACCAATTCCAAAACCAATTCAATTTCCAATAAAAAATAAAAAAAAATTTATCATTTATACCTAATCAATAGTGATAGGTTCCACCATAACAAAACCAATTCCATAAGAGGAAGTAGCTCCAACCTTCGTTTTTCTTTTCACTAATACCAAATAAACAAACAAATATAAACCATGTTTGGAATTAAATTGAAGCAAAAAGACTATAAAAACTAAAAAAAAAAATCATTTATACTTGACCAACTCGTGACATGTTTCACCATAACATAAGTAATTCCAAAAACGAGTCCACCAACCTTCTCTTTCTCCTTGCCTTTGTTACTCATAGACATATCCTCATTCTTTTTCCTTTTGTCTGGATGAAGCAGACTTCAAACTTCTACCTTCCATTTCTCTAATACTAGATAAACAAACAAATGTAAACAATTCATCATGATTAAATTAAAGCAAAAAGACTATAAAAATAAGTAAAATAATCATTTTTACCCGACCACTTGTGATGACTCTATCATAACGGAACCAAAGTCCGAAATAGGTTGAATTGGACCTTGTTCAACCTCAACATTAGCTAGTCCAAGTAGGTCCAATACCACCATCATCAACCTTCATATGAGAGTGACAAATGTAAACTAAAAAACATAAACACAAATACATAAATACACAAACACAAACAGGTTCTATAATTAAAAATACTAACCTTCTTATTCTAAAGATTCTCGGGACATGTAGACCTATTATCCTTTCTTGAAACAAATTTTACAAGTCATCCTCTTTCCTCTTCTTGACATTTTAGTTGCACTAGATGATTCTCATGATTCTAAATGTCTTTTCTTCTTTTTCCTTCCTAGTTGTTTCACTGCCTTTGGAGGTAGTACTTTTGCTTTTGATGTCTTAGGCTAATATTTTTCATCATTTGTTAGCTCAATTGACTTTTGATATGTAGATAAGAACATGTTCTTGGAATATCAATGGATAAGATAATTATCAAAATTTCACTTCCTAGATACATAAACAGCTATAGCATTGAATATGATATCTTATTCGTCTCAAACAACTCGTATGTGCACGATATATTTATCATTGAAATTGTATATGTTTATGGCCTTATATCCATCATCACCATTATGGAATACTCGAACTTTGAACTTAGATCTCTAAATTCTTCTATCTTTTCTCAAATCTTAGGCCAAAAATTCCCCTTATACCTAAGTACAAACAATCTTTTAGCAACTCGTTCTTTTTACAACAAGAATTCTAATCTCCTATAATAAAGATACAATACTTTTGTGCCTTACTTATAAAATAAATCCATTACATCTTTCACACGGGTTATTGTCAACTACATTAGATTTAACATATGTTTAAAAGTAAGCCTTACATTATTTTTGTGGACACTCTTTCATGAAATCTTCAAGTGGTGCCTTGCTACACTTCACCAGCTTGCTCAAGATTTTTTTTTCTAAATCTGGTATGATGCTTAATTTGACACATATTCAAAACTACTTCTCAACATCACCATTATATGCCTTACTCAATTTAGAAAAAATATGTCTAACACAACAACTATGTTTTGCTCTAAGTACTAATTCCTCTAGAGCAAGCACATAATCCCCGTACATATAAACAATTAATTAGATTAAGAAGACTAACTAAAATTAAAGGAATATCAATTAACAATACATATTTGCTAACCTTTTGCCTATCCGTTGTGAAAGTCCATCCATATCCATTTTCATATGGAATCCCAACATCATCCATCAAAAGTTGGATAAACCGGATCCAATTATCTTTATTTTCTCACTTCACAATAGCCTAACACAAAGGATTCATTTGATTGTTTGCATCCCTACCAATAGTTGACAACACTTCTCCTTTTAATCGACCCTTCAAGAATGCACCATCTAACCCTATAATTGGCATGCACCCTACTTTAAGGCCTTCTTTCACATTATGAAAATATACATACATTCTTTTAAACCCGTTTAAAACCTCTTCATCCTTTTCTATTTCAAGAATGACAGTATTATTGCCATTACATCTTCTCAACTCAGTTGCATAATCTTTAAGCCTTATAAACTCATCCTTCATATCTCTAGAATAAATCAACTATATCAAATCCTTTGTATGTTTGGCTTATGACAATGTAATCTACACTTTCATATCTCACAGATCGTCTTCTACAATCTCATGTCGCTTCTTAATCAGTACACTTCTTTCAAGCTTCTTCATAAAATAATCGACAATAAATCTATAAGTAGCGTTGGAATTTATTAATGACCAATCACACATGTGTTATGCATCATAAGTCTTCATCATCCATTTTTTGGTCCTCCCATCAATAAAAACTAACTTCCAAGGACAAGGGTCTTTTTTTATAAATAACTCTATACCTATATTTGACATTCCTAATCGGCTTCAAATATCTCCTACTTCTAATGGCATACTTAATCACAACGAGTTCTAGCTTTTTTCTTGTTCTTAAAAATCATACGAAGCTAGAAATGAGGAGGATCAGAATTTAGATCAAACTTGATCGGTTTGCTTTCCTTTCCTATGCCTAGCTTTTTATCACCACTCGCTCTAAGTAGCAATCCTCCCCTTCATTCAAATTATATTACTCCTCATTCAATTCCTTTTCTAGTTGTTTTAACTATTCTATTAATTTCCTTCTCTCTTCATTCCCCTTCACATTTTTCTCTAAAATTTCTTCCATATTTTCCTGCAAATTCCCTCCACATTTGTCCCTAAGTTTCCCTCACATTTTCATCTAAGTTTCCCTCTAATTTTTCCACTAAATTTCCCTCTACAATGACCTTACTTTTACCAATCGACACTCGTTTTTATCTTTTTCAAACCTTTTCTAATTTCTCTAGCCTCCTCATCATCCGACACCCACTCGTACATCTATCTAATATTCTACAACTTCCACCCACATCATCGTATGACTCATCATCAACCTCTAAGTCATGGACCACCGCACTCTCTTTATTAGCATTCTCACCGCCCACCACACCCTCTTTATTTAAAGTCCTACTACCCTCATTTATT